TTAAAATAAAAAGTATAAAAAGCTGTCCTAGGATATTAATGTAATTGAATGTATATCTGTAAGCAACGGTTAACCATTGCTAACGAAAAAAGGATTCTGAGCGGAGTTCAGTTGATAGTGTTGCTTTATCAACAATATATTAACATTAAAATAATAAAATAATTGCATATGCATTATATATATATATGTATATATATATATTTTCTTTAATAATATTTATGTAAATTTTGTACCTATTTTCCCGTTTTCCTACGATTTTTCCATTTATTTTAAAATCTACTGGGAAAATCAAAAAATTACCTCTTTTAAATATTTCTCCAGTTAGATTTCCTTTCAGGAAAAGTGCTATCGTTGAAAATCGGAATAAAATCGCTGGTAGAAAAATTGTCCATAGAAAAAAATTAAATATAAACGTCAATGAAAAACCATAATCTTCTCTCCACTCAGAATAGGTATACAGTATATACCCATAGTTACTTTGAAAATACTTTAATCAATGAAAAAATATAGTATGCTGAATATTTTCCTACAGTGAAGACGTTATATATAGTATGTAATTTTTTCTAAATTAGAACGAAAAAATGCCAGAGTTGTTTAAGAATTTCCTGTCACTCCATGTCCTTTTCGGAGTGTTTATAACAATATAATACAAATAATATTATTGTTGTATTATTTTTTTTTTCGCCAAAAAAATGTTTGTTTTAATTCATTCGAACCGTGATTTTACTTCGTATTCGTTTATTTTATAGAATTTATGAAAATCAACATATATGATGCGTGTTTAAAACCATCATCGCTGTAAAAATGTATGGAGTATAAACATCTCGTATATCATAATATTTAAAATTAAATTCCATAGGTATCGTCGTGAAAAGGACGAGAGGAGTGTATAGAGATGAGTTTTATTGTTATTATTTTTTTTAGTCGTGTGCAAATTCCGCAGTTTGTTTATGTTAACGTATGTGTCCCTAGCAGGGTTATAAAATTAACGCTTTGTAATTTTCCTTTGCACCTGTCTAATATGCAAAGATACATTCAGATCTTGTCAAATTTTCAGAACATATAAACGGGTGCTCTAGACTAAAAGTCCTTTACTCTAAAATAATAATGTGTATGAGCTGTAACCATTAATTTATATTCTTGCATATAATATTCTAAGCTAACCAAGGCGTGTATTAGTTTTACAATATTTTTTTTTTTTTCTATAGACAACTATTTTCTACTATTTTGCTCTGATTTTCAAGTGTAGCACTTTTACTGAAAAGATACTAGCGGATAATTTATTTATTTTCATTTTTTCAAGTAGGTTTTATAATAATTCGAAATCCCAGAAAAATATGTAAAATGAAAACTTAAAATGTATGATAGCAGTTTTTTTTTTGAAAATTTCATAATTCTCTTAATAATTGGAAAACCCCTGAAAACAGGAAAGTACTGTTTCACTATTTTCAGTTTTATTTTTTGTGCGTAAGTATAATCGAATTCACTCGGAATCATATTTTGGTAGCAATGATTTTATTTTATTTTCATGTACAATGTGATTTTATTTTTATCATGAACCAACAATTTTTTCGGAAGATTTTAAGTGAATTTAATGTCTGTTTTTTTTTTTTAATTATTTCAGAATCGTGTAAGCTTCATTTTAAAAAATGTTTAATTTTTCACCCCTACTCTATACACCTTAAATAAGTATACTGTTTTTCAAATAGAAACCACCATTTTTGAACACAGATTTGAATATTGAATATTTTGCTGGGAATTTTGATATGCATAACACTAATATCAGATTTACCATGTATAAATCATTGCCATTTAAATTTTATACCGGAAGAGTAGAGAAGGTGATTCCGAATTCGTACATTATATTATATTATAAAGTTTTCCCGATGGAAAGTCTTTCTTGTGTAGTGGTATAACGATGGCCTTGTTCTATTCTTTTGAAAGTTCCTCATCTTCCCAAATTTTTGGAAATGGTTCGTATCACAGCCAGCACCCCTGTAACTTCTCACATCTATTATACTTATTGTGTTATTACGATAATAAGCATGCGCACGGAAGCTGAAGAGTCAGATGTTTCCCCGGCGAGATTTTCCGTCAGAGTATTTTTCTAAAAACATGTTAAATTCCTACATGTATTCGTTTTAAATATATTTAAATCTAACGGCCCAAACGATTTTGTACACAGTGAAGGCAGAGCCTCAGAGAATTCCCCTCCCCCCCTCGAAAACTCAGCCAAGTTCCTCCAACCTAAAAAAACTCCTTAGATCAAGTTAGTAATATTAAGTATACATAATCAATTTAATGGAACCTGAAACCCCCTCCAAAAATATTTGTGATTTTTATGTAAGTTAGATTTTAAAAATTATCGCCTCCCCTACCAAGAACACCTGCACACGATTATAATACTTAGTAATAACTAACAATATTAGTATAATACTTAGTGCTTATAATACTCATATTCGAGTAGCGGGCATTTGGCACCTACCTACGCCGCCGCCGGTTTTGAAATTTTAATTTCAAATCACGAATATTACAATATTTATCCATCCGTTACCGCCCATATTTTTATCTGATGTAGAATGTATTATTCAGGTATTTTTCCCCCAGTTTTGTATAACATTACAATGATTTCGATTTATTGTTACGTACTTTTTCGTTTTGTCTGTAGTTACTTATTTTTCTTCTCGGTGTGGTACGTCGTACGCCCTCTCAATGTTTTCAAAAATTATCTCAAAGCCTTGCTTAATAAAACGTCTCACTACATTGGTACAGTACAAAACGTTTCCCCGGCTTTGAGATATCGTTTTTAGATTCTGAATGGTGTGAAGAAACTTATGGTTTTACAAAGACGTTTAATTTTTTTTCTGTGGACAACTTTTCTACTAGTAATTTCGCTCCAACTTATAATGGTAGATATTTTTCTAAAAGGAAATTTCACTGGAGAGATACTTTAGAGAGGTTGTTGTGTGGTCTTCCTAGAAGTTTTCTCAACAAATGTGAAAAACCGCAAATGAAACTGAGGAAACACGGGAAAATGTAAGATATTTAGATATTAGTCAAAAATATTACGCCCTTCTTTTTTTCATGTGGACAACTTTTCTACGAGAAATTATACTCCAATTTATAATGATAACAATTTTTATTTTTCTAAAAGAAAATTTGACTGGGGAGGTACTTTAGAGAGATTATTTTTTGATTTTCTCACTTGGAATAATTAGGTTTCATAAACATTATTAGAATTACCAAAATCATGTATGAAAAAATTAAAACTAAATTTACAATTTTAATAATTTAATTTTAAATCATTCGTATAATTGTTTTATTTATTATTTTTATTTAACTTGTCTTACACGTTAATTTAGTGACAATTAATTTGCCTATAATAATTTTACCTTTTATAATTATTATATTACCCAACTAACTATTATGTAGTTTGTAATTTTGACATAGGTACTTTCAATGTTTTCGGATAATATACTACCTACAATTTTAGTGTTTATACACCATAAGTAAACAAAATACAATATTGTTATAATCCAAAATTTTCAATTTAAAAATGTGTAACCAGATCATATAGACAACTTAAGTACAATAATCAGTATTTCAAAAACGTTTTACATATTTTATAGGTAAAACGATCATCACGCTTATGAAAAACAAAATTGATTTTTTTTTTCATCTATATTCTACCGTTATTTCACATTTTAGATGATAGCATCAGAATGATAAAGATGGTGCTTTAATCGACTACGAATAGACCACGGCTATTTTAGCCGATTATCTATAACCGTAGAATAGACAGACCTCTATTTTTCATGTTCATCTCTTATCATTTTGGACAACTGCCCCCGACTAGATTACAATGTAAACAAATTCATTCTTTGTTCCATGAAATATTATTTCAAAATTTAAAAATCTTGATAACGGTAAATAAAAAATGATAACCATTAACCGTTCTGTGATCTGTGTAAGGAATATTAAAATTGAATATAATTTGTTTGGATATTAAAATTTTCTATGGCTAGATTAGATGACTGTTTAATTTTTCTGAATCAATAATATTATTTTTTTTTAAATTTTTAAGTATACTTAGGCTGACTTGGCATACTTTGCATTTAGGTAAGTCGCTCAACTAATAGATTTTGAACAGGTACCTACAAATTTATTTCATGAAAATTTTCTATAACTATTAAATAATATATGTATATCAATACAAGAATTCTTTGTATTTATAAATAAATTGCTGATACATAAGATATATGCCGGGTTGTTGCATCTATAAATTGTTTATAAAAAGTTAAATTTTATGTGTTAGTAAATTAACCTTTATAAAGAACAACTCTCCCATTTTTATAAAATGTATTTAAGTTGTATATTAAACAAAAAAAATATAAAACAAACCTTGTTAACCACCAATCAATTTGTATACATACTGGTGAAGCAACAACACTTGAACTAAAGGATAGTAGACACTGCTCTAACTTTTATTTTGATAACTAATCGTAAATTGCAATTTAAATATTTATGTTCATGTAAAATAATGTATTTTAAACTATACAATTAATTTATGTTCAAATAAATATTATATTTATTTTATTTAGTTTCTTTGTATTTTCAAACTTAGTTTTCACATTTAAGATAAGATATGGACATAATTTCCAATTCTTAAATAGCTTAATAATAATTTTTTTAAGTTTAATCAAGTTAACTTATGTTATTAAAAAGCTTTTCTATTAAAATTTAATTTAACAGGTGTAATAGATAACCCATCTTAAGAGTAAAGGGTTATCAGATTAGTAGGCGACAAGCTACTGGTTTACAACTGAACAAATCTCTAAGCCTTTTTATGTCCAGATTTTTATATTTTTTCTGTTAATTGAGAAAATATATTTATTAATGAACATACTATAATCTATTTAAATAGGTTCTTTTTATAGATCACATGTACCTATGAAATATTTTTTTTTTCTTTCTTATATAGTGAATAAACTACAAGTAATATGCCATACAGTTCAGATACATCACAATTTGGAACACTGAAAACATATGGGAAGTCTAGATATACCCAAGTGTATGGACAAAATGATGATTTTGATAAATTCTTTGGTATTGAAGATGTTTTAAAAACAACCTTTATTTCTCCTGAACAAACTGATTCAACTAAAAGGTTCAAAAATGTAAAAAATCCAGGAAATAAAGTCAACACTTATTCAGAATGGTGGCCATCAAAAAATTGTTCAACTGTAAAAAAAAAGTAACTTATTTATATAATTATATATTATACAATAATACATATAAAATCTGTAGGTATTATAATATTATAGTATAATTTTAATTTTAAAAAAAAATGTAAATATTTTACTTGATTAATAAATATTTATGTGAAGGTATATAATTTATTATAAATATTGTAGTCCTAATATATTTTTGAAAATCACAACTGTCATTTGTTTTCTGATTTATTTTTTAACTTAAAGCAATTTCTGCCCACACCAATTAAACCAGACAAGACAAAATCATAATCACAGTATTTTTAAAGACAAATTATTTTCAATATTTATCAGTTTCAAATTAGACAACAAAACCTAGACAACTTGGTTAGATATTTGGCAACCAATATATATAAACAATAGACCATTTTTATACCTGCGATCTATTATTTAGAACATTAGAAATTATATAATCATTTAACCCTAATTATAGGGTGATTCACTAAGCTTGATCTTTTATTTTTATTTTTTTCTTAAATTTTGTACATTTTCAAATACTTAGATTTTTCTGAATATTTTTGGAATATCCTGTGACGATACCAACTTTAATATTTTAAATGAAAACGTATATTAAAAATTCTATAAACAGGTGAAGTATTACTTTAAATAAATTTTGACACCAAAATTATCCATATCACATCATTTTATAGTTCAAAACAGATCACAGTTATTATTAAGTGTTTACAGTCTAATTTGACCATAGAGCCGTGTGAAAAACTTGTCATCAACGACGTTGCATATCCTAGTTAGTACCTTAGTACCTTACATACCTTAGTTTGTAGTTAACTCCAAAAAATTGTAAGACAGTTGTCTCATTGTATAGATAAAAAATTGTCCTAGGATGATAATGGGAACGGGTGCAACCACTGTTATAGGAAATTTAATGTTTATCTGTAAACCATTATTAACCATTGCTAATGCAAAGACGATTCCAAGCGAAATTAGGTTGATAGTGTTGTTTTGTCAACAATATATATGTCATATTATGGTAAAATAATTACATATGCATTAAACATTTTCTATAATAATATTTTTTATTATTGTATTTATTTTTCCATTTTTCTTATTTGTTGGGAAAACTCCTATGAAAATCGAAAAATGACCACTCTAAAGTACCTCCCCCATCAGATTTTCTTTCAAAAAAACTGCTACAGTGCTACATTTGTAAATCGGAGCAAGACTTCTAGTAGAAAAATTATTCACAAATAAAAAAAAAAACTATGTATTTAACCAATACCTACATTTCTTGTTCCACTCAGAATCTAAAATTAGTTATAACGATCAACCATAATATAAGATAGCACCTTATATTGTAGGATCATCTCTCAATGCAAATAAATCACTTTATAAGGAAAAATTATAAGTTATTGTAGTTTATGGAATTTTGTATATAATCCTTTAATTTGACTTTAACAAATATTATTGGGTTTTTTAAATTTCACACTTGCATTAAAATATTGTTAAATTATTTAAATGTACTATTAAATTCTAATTTCTACTATCACAAAAGTAATGACGTATCGAGGAACCGCCATAGATAAATAGATTGTGTAATGCAAATCAACATAGGATTTAAGGGAGAGGAAGACTGAAAATGTGGTTAGATGAAATTGAAAATAATATGACAACAATTGATGTATGCAAATTGTGAGGTAAGAGATCAGGTAAAGTGAAAGCTTAGGATGAGAATAGTTGGAATGAAGGCAAAGGAGAAAAAGTTTATGTTTTAATAATTTAATCACCATCTATCAGTAGTTTAATTTTACCCAATAAATGAGTCAGTAAGTATGTTCTATTCTATGAATCACTATCTTAATCCTGTTTACAGAAAATTGTTTGTTTCAAAGCGAGTGAGCAAGAATATTAGGTGGTTAATGTTTTGTGCCAATATTATATCTGTCCATAAAATGTAAAATTATATTTAGTGTACCTACTTAATTTTAATGTATGTTTTCTTTTGTTTTTTCTTTAATATCTTATAATCTTAAAATTATTATGTATATTGTATGTTTAAACAAGGGCTACGCCCCTTAAATTTAAGAATAAATAAATATTATTACCCCTTAATTAGGACATACTATTAGCAAAATCCATTTTCATTTTTTCTCAATGTATGCTATCACAAAATAGTGTTTTTTAACACAGCATTATATTTATAATTAATATAATAATTTTAAAGTTTATATATTTGGTTTCAGAAATTATGGAATTAGTTTTAATAAGAAAATCAAAAAATCAAACTATTCAAATATCGCTGGCAACTCAAAAGGTATAAATTAAGATAAATTTTAAGGATTATATTTGATTTCTAAATTATAATTTATATTTTATCTAGATTAATATTTCTTTTACATCAATACTGTTGGTGCTGCTCAAATTTTAATTTTATTGCTAGTTTATGAAATATATTAAGAATTTTGTTTATAATATTTTCTCTGTAATTCATCTAAACTTTTTCTTGAATTATTATTTAGACATCTTTATAGTTATGTCTATAATAGCTAATTTATAAGACCTATTATTTCTAAAAGGGTGCTATTCAAGTATAGATAAATCTAACTTCATATAAATAAAGCTGATGCGCATTGCTTGGTCCATTTTGGACTACCATGGGTGTAATATTACCCCTACCCACAGAGAAAATAACTATAATACATTAGTTTAACAACTCAAAAAGATGACTTTTGTTTTATATTTCTAAAAACTGTTTTCATAGAAAAAAGATACCAATTTTTTGTATTTTTAATTAACAGTATGATATTCAGGGATGAAATTCCTAAATCATACTATTAACTAATGCTTTAACTATATTTAATCCTATGTTATTTATGCCTAATAAATAAAATGTAAATAAATATTTAAAATAATATTTTATTTTTAACAGGTTCTCCAATCTCAATAAAAAAAAGCAAGAAACCATATAACTTTCCCAAAAAAGTTGTATGTTCTACACCTTTACAAAGAGCTTCGCCATTCATCTACACAAATAAATTTAATATTGCCAGTATTTCTTCTAAAAAGAAAAAAATTAAATATGGAAGAAAAAAAAATTTAGGAAACATCTTTAATTCTTCATATTATTCTTTAGAAGTTATTAGTTCATCAGATGATACATATTCAAGTGATCCTAATTTGTCACCAATGACAAATAATAAACATAGATTAATTGATAAATCCGTTCAATTATCAGGATCTCATCATCTACAACCACCTAACAAAGAATTTATTTTAAACAACAAATATATTACAAATGCAACTAGTGGTTATGATGAGCTTGAAACCGAAAAATATTATAAACCAAATTTAAATAAACCTGATAAATCAAAATCGAGTAAAAAGAAAAAAAGGAGTACTTCAAAAGAAAAAACGTTTAAATGGTGTATAAATACTATGGATATTTTGCATAAAAAAATTCCCAGCACTTTTGAAGAATTGTCTAACACAAGCTATAGCATTGAAGAAATTACAAATTTGGAGAAGAGTTTAATGAATCAGAATTGTGAATCACTTACAGTTTTTCATGAAACTAAGAATTATATTAAACAGAATAATCCACCAGCATTTCCTGATTTAATAAGTAGAGAATCATTACAATCTATAAAAACCACAAGTGTAAGTTCACCTGGAGAAGATTACTTTAGTGCAACAGATGAAGCCATTAAGTGTCCTCAAACATACATTGCAAATGAATCTAAATTGTCTAACAATTCTTTATATGTTTCTTGCCATCAGCTTGTAGAAAACCACGGATCTCTAAAGTCTGCTTCTATCATTGACTTCAATGTTTCTGAAGATGATCAAATATCTATTGATAAATCAAAAAATGTCAACCACAAATTATCTGAATTGGCTTGTGACAATTATACATGTACAATAGAAAATGTTGAATCTTTTGCATTGAATAAATCATGTTTTAACCAAGATAATACTAATAAGTCATCTGAAAATGCCTTTAATATTGAATCAACAAATGATATTGTTCTAAGCATGATTAATAAGTCAAATGGGTCTGTTGTTTTTAATGAAAATTCATTTGAATCAGTTGAAAACATTAATCTTAGTTCTGATAAAATTGTTCCTTCAGCATCTGATTTGTTTGTTTTATCAAATATAACAAACATGTTGTCTGATATAACAATTGATCAAAGTGCTAATATGTATAAACAAAATCCTATGGATTCAAAGGAAAACACCATTTTGATGGCAACCTCTAGTAAACATTTTTTCAAAAATAATAGTTTAAAACATAACAATATACATGCTAAATCAAATATATCATATAACAATAAAAATATATTAAATCAATCATTGCATACACCATTTGAATTGTGTGAATATTTAGATAATACTGTTGTTTGTCATTCTGATTTTTCAAAATTGAATGTTAATATGAAAAATGAATCAATTAATTCTAATAATAGTTTTATTGTTACCAATAATGCTTCTTTTGATTTTGATAATATATCTACTATAAATTACAAAGAAGATACTATGTATGGAGACCATACAAATGTTTCCTATGACGTATCTGATGAGTTACAATCTATAACTTGCAATGTATCTAAAAACAGAAAAAAAAGATATGCTTCACGATTCAATATTTGTGTTAATGATATTATTGAAAACCCGACTGATGATAATCAAATTAAGGAACAAAACCCACCATTACTCTTAGAACCAGGTAAAAAGTGGCGAAGATCAATGATAGGTATACTGAAAAAACAATCTATAGGTAATACTTCCAAAAATTCAACTTATTTTGGGTTTTTTAAAATACATTTTATAATTTACAGATTCCAATTTCCATCAAAGTATTTTAGATAGAAGTAATATTTTTAAAAATTCTATTTGTCGCTCGAGCCATTCATTGAACAATTCTTCCGGTAATTAAAAATTTATTTTAATACGTATCACAAAATGTATGTACCTATTTATATTCATGATTATACACTTACTCCCAGAAAGTTTTTTTTTATATGTCATTGATTGACTATTAATAGCACATATTATGATAAAAATAATTTAATTTCTTTAGGTTCGGAAAATGAAATTGCCAAAAACTACATTTTCAGTATGTGCAATCAACAAAAACCAGTTTCTTTTGAGTCGTGGTTAAGACCAAAGTATATATTATTATTATTATTAATATTATTTGTATAATGATAATAATTTATTTTCAGGCTTAAAAGAAAATGGAAAAAGGTAGGTGAAGGTTTATATTCAGAAGCATTTAACTATGCAATGGCAAGGACTAATACAGTAGTCAAAATCATTCCTGTAGAAGGTGATATCAATATAAATAATGAGAGACAGAAAATGCTATTTGAAATATCCAGCGAATTATTAATTGCGACAGCACTTACTGAGCTCTCTAGTAGAAATAATTGGAATAAAACTCATTCATTTTGTAAACTAAAAAATCTTTCTTGTGTTCAAGGGAAATACCCTGAACTTTTAATTAATCTCTGGACCCAGTATGCAGATGATAAAGGTAAAATTTTGAAATGTAGTTAAAAATGTATTGCTAATAATTGTCAATATAATATTATATATTATTATACTTTTATTTAATATGCCATTTTCTAAATACATAAAATATGCTTGTTTAAATGTATTATTTTATAGGTACAGATAACGACAATCCCAGCATTCTTCCTGAAGATCAAATCTTTATCATATTAGAAATGGAAGATGGTGGCACAAATATGGAAGACTTTATATTCGAATCAGCCACGCAAGCATTATTTGGATTTATCCAAGTATGTACTTAATAAATACATGCAAGTAAAGTAACAATTTTATATTGTATGCAGAAACAGTTTCAAATTTTTCTTGTTTAAATTAAATACACCAAAATAGAACTGATTCTTCTGATGGATGTAGCACTTTTGTAGATGAGAAGTTGGGAGCAGAACACAACTTTTGGCAAGGGAGTACCTCAACTAATATATCGTACATTTTTAGTATACCTCTTTTCATTGTTTTATGTGTATTGCATTTAATGGATGTACTGTGACAGTCTCGCACTGGTTAGGTTGAGTTCAACCATTGTAGGAAACTATTTTTATTTTTATTTTTTTTTTTTTTTGTCAATTTCAACACTGGTTGGGAAAGTAGTATGTACGTATTAATTTAATTTATATCTTTACACAATGATATATCATTTTATCAGAACAAATTACGATTCTGATTGAAGTTCTATTAAATATATTTTTAATTACCAGTATTTGTTTTTCTCCCCAAATACAACTTGTGATAAAATTTAAACATTTCAAATAACTATAATATTTAAAAATATAAGCAATATATGTTTAAAATTTACCTTCTCTAAAAAGTTCTGATATTATTATTCTGTGGAAATTTCAAGTTTCTGCAATTATTTTAAATATTATTACTAAATTTTTCGTACATTTTTTTCATAGTTTTTCACTATTGTTAAAATGAATTACACGTGATATCAAAAAATATCTTTAATAATACACAGGGAGCTTGAATATAGTCCAGCAATTCATTAATTTACCAAATGTTTATCATACTACTTATCATTACTGATAATTTATCAGTTTTGTATTGTTTTTAAATTTAAAATATTGAATTTATTCATTATATATTTTCAGTTAGTTTTTGGATTAGCTGTAGCAGAACACCATTTGAATTTTGAACACAGGGATCTCCATACAGGCAATATTCTTGTCAAAAAAATTGCAACAAGGAAACAAATTGTATATACGTTGGATGGAGAAATATACTCTGTGCAATCATATGGCATTAAGGTATATATAAAATAACACTAATGTAATACAAGTTTTAAGTAAATTTGATTTCTAATATTTTCATACAAATTTTTGTATGCATAACATTGATATCAGATATACTGTTTATGAGTAGTGGATACTTATTTCAGCTATAAGGAGTAGGTGTAAAATATTAAAAATATTGTTGTTAAAATAAAACCTAAACTATAATGATAAGAAGAAAAAAACAAAAATCAAATTCACTTAAAATATTCTGAGAAAATTGGTGGTTCTTATTAAAATAATCACATTGTATACATATATTTTAACGTTAACTGAATAGTTTTATTAATTTGTTTTAATGCAATTAGATTAGGTATTTTTACTTGTAATAATAAATCAGTAAAAACAGTTTGAATGAAGATTATTTAGCATTATTTAATATAATTGTACATTTTTATGTATTTTAGTAAAGTTCTGAAAATAAAATCATTCATAAAACATTGTTTTTGGTAGATTTGATAACAAGTTAATTTCAACACACATTTTTATTTTTTTCTCGCATTTATCATAGTAATTTTCAACTTTGAAAAACTAACCACAAAGTCTAATAATAAACATATTATTTGTGTTAAATTACACATCTGTAAAGTTACCCTTCAGTTATATTTACTTTTGGGATGTACAATTGTAACAAAAAAGTAATAACCATAAAATGAAATACTAAATTCTGGTTTATAAATGTTCTAAAAAATTCAATTATTTTAAAATATGTTATATACAACCTTATAAAATCTTGTCTTATAAATTTGTTGAATTTAATTAATATATTAGAAAATTCAAGTAACATTTTCATATTTGGTGCAATTTGGTTATTTTTTTCAATTTACTCCGATTTTCCTTAATAAATTTATAATCATTACTTCATCATGTTTAATTTATTTAATTTTTTCATACTGACCATTATTATTGTCTAATAGAATTAAAAAATAAATGATTTTATATTTGAACGGTTTTATTAATAATTTCCAATATTAATTACATTATGTTTTATTTATACAGATCACAATCATTGACTTTACATTGAGTAGAATGACGTATAATAATAAATGTATTTACAATGATCTCTCTGTAGATTTTGAACTTTTTAATGGGGTAATTGATGACACAAGCGATTATCAATTTCATATATATCCCATGATGCGAGAAGAAAATAAGTAAGTATAATAATTTCGATTGATAGTTGGGTTATGTTTTGAAAATAAATAAAATTAATTTTTACAGCAATAAATGGGAGCTATTCAAACCTAAAACAAATATATATTGGCTTCATTATGTGTTGGATAAAATGTTGACTTCTGTACACTATAAAAACACAAAACAGTCTATTCACAAAACTGGACTGGATAATTTGCAAAAATTAAAAGATGCAATATTATCATTTGAAAGTGTAAAACTTTTTTCAGAAAGTGATATAATTTTGAATTTTTTGAAGTGATTTTTATAATTATTCTTTTAAAATATTTGAATACTTCATAAATGTTACCAAAACCTATATTGCTATTTAATAATTTTTATTGTATTATACCAATTGAAAGATTTTTTTTACCTTGTTCATGATTCGCTTATACATATTGAAGGATAAAAGATCATAAGAGATTTAATTCTCTTTCATATGTTTTCATGTTTTCATATGTTTTATTATAATAAAAATCTAAGACTGATAAAATGAAAATAATTATTAATATTGTATAATTTATTTTATGTATATGTAATAATAATTTTTAATTGCTATATTATAATTTTTAAATGAGTATTTATCTACAAAACTATTTAAACTTCCTTGCTTTACATAGAAAGCAGATTTCATTTTATTTAAAATATTATCATATTAAATATGTAATTCCGCTCAATGTATATTTTATATTTGGTTGCCATAGTTAATTATTATACTCATATGAAATATACTTATAATCATATGAAAGAAGAATGTGAATTTACTAGGTATGAAATTGTTATTTTGTGTGTACATAGAGCTAAGATGATAAACTATTGATTAGAGAAAAAAATGTACAATAATCCAGTTAAAAAGGATTGGAAATTAGTAATTATCAAAACAAAATTCTAATTGGTCAAAAACGAGCTTTTTATGTACAGCCGAGACTGTTTAAATAAGCATGAATAATGAATTTGTATATAATATTATGGTTTGAATTTTTGTTTAACATTTTATTCACATGTAACTTTTTTTTTTTTAAATTTAGGAAATTTGTAATTTGCATCATTTGATATTTAAATTCATTGTGAGATTAAAAAATATGAAGAAACATTAAAACATTTGATATTTAGTATAGGTACATAATAATATTAAATGATATGTTAAAGTAGGTAATAATATGGTGTACCTATATAACATATTTGTTTCAATATTTGGGTACACAATTGAACTAGAATTTAGAATGTAGATAATAGATATAAAGTTACAGTATTATACAATTATGTTAAAATAAAAAAATAAAAATACTTATTTGCATGTGGGTTGATCACTGTTATAGGTGAGAAGTTGGGAAGATAGAGTGGTAATTTAATTTATATCTGTACTCGATGATTAACCATTGCTAATGAAAAATAATTCCGAGCAGAGATCTGTTAAGAAAACTGTCTATTGTCTCAGACCAACTACAGGGTAACATGTAAAAACAACGCTTACACAGAATGAGTAAAAAGTTTAATTTTGATTTTAGAGTGAAAGGTATCTATTAATCATGGTCATTAGTCAAAATATACAGCTTGATATAATAGATACAAAACAGTCTTCTTTTTTTTTTTATAGTTCATAATAAAAATAAAAATAATACAATTCTAAAAAAAATGATATTCTTAACAAAATAATTGTTTTCTATAAATTTAATAAATAATAGGTACTTTTACTCGAAAATTAAATTGGTTTTACTTATTCTGCATAAGCATTGTTTTTGCATGTTACCCAATATTTGTACTAAGAAAGTAGATGTGGGTATAACGTTCTCTTAATAGTGTTGCTTTGTCAATAATATAAATGCCATAGGCATTATATATTTTCTTTAATAATATTTGTTCAATATTATACCTACATTCCCATTTTTTTGCCTTGAATTTATCGCCCTTTATCATGAGTTCCCTGAATTATGGAAAGTTAAAACTTAAAAGTAAAATCTATAAGAATAGAATTAAGAAGGATGCGGCATACAAAAATATATTTCAATATATTATAAGCTCAGTTACTGACCGATCATGACTAAGTTGATCCCTCTTCTTCAGCTATTTCTTCATCCATACCCTCTGCTTTCTTTTCCACTTTATTTTTTTCTTTTCCGTTAAGCAAGCAATCACTACCGCAGCACAAGTATCATCATTGGTGTCACATAAATTCTATTAGAAATATAGAATATACATTGAATACACTTTAATAAGATCAAAAATTAAACTGAAGTTGTCACAAGCCATTGGAATGTGTGTGTCTAAAGTTTGTGCAAACATGATGTTTGCATAAAAACGTTTGTAAATTTATTTGATGTGTATCAAGGGGAATAAAGATTTATCTACGTCATCTAACGAATGTTTTTCTGATTTATACTAGTCTCCATAATAAAAATAATAACCTAATTTAGTACCTAACTGGTAGACCATACCTTAGAAAAATATAGCTTATAAATAATAAGCACAGATTTTAAAACATAAGGTTTATTTTTATAAGACATTTCTCAATTTTCTAGTTTACTTCACTTACCTAACCGAAGTACATGTAAGTAGCTAAGTCATTAAAATCCATCTTATCATCAATAATTAGGTAAGTTCCTACAATGCCGAATTAAAGATTAGAGCACAGGAAAAATATATATTTTGTACTTGTTATCACGATGCCATTAAAAATACATAGAATTCATGTTATTCTATATAAATATGAGAAACAATTTTAAAAAAATTCTATAACCTTTAAAGATTCTGAGTGGAGCGAGGAATGTATCTATTGCCTGTTGGTTTTAAAATGATGTTTTTTTATTTATTTTTTTTTTTTCTGTAGACATCTTTTCTACCAGCAATTTCGCTCCAATTTACAATGAGAACACATTTTCTGAAAAGAAATCTGACTGGGATGGTACTTTAAGCAAGTATTTTTCTAATTTTCCCAATAAAAGAAAAAACACGGGAAAACCAGGAAAATAGATACAATATAAAACAATTTATAATTAAAGAAAATATCGAATGCATATGCAATTATTTTACCGTATTATGACACACATATATTGTTGACAAAGCAACACTATCAACCGAACTTCGCTCAGAACAGTTTTTTCCGTTAACAGTGGTTTATCATTTACAAATGTACATTAAATTTTCCGTCTACTAGCTACCCAACTTTTCACCAATAACAATGGCCGCACCCCATCCCCATTATCCTTGAACAAAAATGCAATTGGATACCTACTAAAACCGACCACAAGTTAAAAACAAATTATTTTATAATTACATTGTTTGAATTAATATTCAAATTAATACAAACCTAATACAAAATGCATACACACGTATATTGTATTATGAAAGTTATAAGTGAATACAATGTAATGTAAATAAGAAGCTTAGAAGTCTATTTTTAACAAATGCGTTTCTTCCTCGACTACATTATAGCAGCAAATTCGTGAACAAACTCTTCCCACTTAATCTTTAAATATTTCTGGCTCGATGCACAGTGTTGGCAAATTTGACATTTTCTTAGTACTTAACAGTAATAGCCCAGTAACAAAAAAAAAATTATAAGATAATGAAGACGGGTGCAGTCACTGTTATAGATAGCTTAATGCATATCTGAACGGAACGATAAACCATTTCTTACTTCTAGCGGAGTTCAGTTGATGGTGATGTTTTGTCAACAAAGTATATATCATACTATAGTAAAATAATTGAACGGACTATATATTTCCTTTAATAATATTTGTTTAATATTGTACCGATTTGTTTACGTTTTTTCCCGGTTATACAACATTTGGTGGGAAAACTCATGAGAAAATGGAAAAATGACTTCTCTAAATTATCTCCCCAGTCGGAGTTCCTTTTCGATCATTATTATCGTTATAAATTGGAAAAAAATTACAAATAGAAAAGTTGCACACGGAAAAAAAAAAGTGGGTTTACTTTGGTAGTAATATATTTGGTACATTTTCCCGGGTGGGCATACTGCAAGAAGCCGGGACGAAAGCAGCGATTAATTGGAAAGTCGGGTCACATTCAAATTGTTTTTTTTTTTTTTAAGCCTTTAAAAATACTTACATGTTTTGTTTTTACTTTATGCTATTCATCTATTGTTATTGTCGTTCAATGTTTTAATATTACCATTATCATTAGTATTAGTATTATCGCCTCTTTGTCAATTCGGCCGATTGTCATACGCGAAATAAATAACTGCGGGCGTTGACACTGATCACTGATAACCGTCTCGAGTAACCGCTGAACGAAGATAAAAGACGGTACCAAGCGACGTCGGCGACACAGCATATCGATCAGTCCGACCAACAGAGATCGTTAATTTGTAGCACTATTTTTAACAAAATTCCGAGTACATTGCAATTAATACCGCTATAATTACGACGGTATGCAATAATCCGTACATGACCACTCATAATATATAAATATATATTTTATTCAGTGTTACAAAGTTGTATTTACCTTTTATAATTACTCGATTAAACATTGAGAAAACGAATGTACTGAATAAATATTTAAATTGAAACTAATAAACCGTTGCCGCTCCTATAAGTTCACCGCCCTGGAACAAAAGCTCCTTTTGCCACCTACGTTAATCCGGCCCCCCCGAGTTATAACGAACTAAACTTACTCAAATTCAAAATGTATAACAAAATAAAACAATATAATATTATAACGTTAAAATAAACAAGTATACTTACAAAAAAAAAATCGTTTTTACATACATTTGTTCGTATTTGAATAATTGCTATTATTTCTTTACGCGTGCAAAAATTATATAACGGCTTCGGTGTGCACACTGTTTTGCCATTATGTATTATACATGTTTAAGCAATACCATTTATAATTTAATAAATTATAAAATTAATGGCATGAGTGTATGCTATAAACGTACTATGTCAATAAAATATTTTTTTTAATCTATGGTAGTACCTATTGTAAAAGTTTAGTAGAAATAAACAATTACTATTCAAACTTGTAACGTTTTAAACTAATTCAATTTTTTTAAAAAAATACTTAAATAATTTTAAAAACAGTTTGATTTTTGAAAATTAAATTACTAATATAATGTTATTGATTGCTCATTTTTATTCCTAGATCCTAAATCCTTAGTCTCAATATGATAAAAAAAAGCACAAACTTCCAAAAAAAAAAAAAAAACCGTGACTAAATCATTTTTTTTTCCAAAGAGAATATATTAATTTTTAAGTGTTTAGTTAGTTCCTTATTTAGGTATACATTATAAATTATGTGAAGTCAAAATAACAAAACCATCTACCAATGTAGTTTAAAATTTAATAATAAATAACTAACACAGCTCTATTTACTAATAAGGACACCAATAGATAGATGCCAGCTAAATTTTTTTTTTTAGATTTAAGTGAAAATTATTTAATTTGTTGGGCATTAAAATTACTGTAAAAACTAGAGGTCCACAAGTTAAAAGGTTTATAACAAAAAAACGCAACTGTGAATATACATAATATTACTTATTTACAAAGGTGCCTTCACACAGCTTATCATACAATTTAAAATGTATAATATAGCAAAATTTATAAATTTTATGATCTTTTCACATTATATTTAGTATGTATGTGTCTATTTTGAAAGGATTGGAAGGCATGGTTGGATGACAAGAAGCTGGCTGTACACTATTTTTTGAAAAAAAAAAAAGGTACAACAAAAATTATTAATTACAACCTTTATTGAATTACGAATAATTACAAAACAATCAAAATGGGTTAATTAATAATATTCACTAAGATAAATATTACTTTTATTATAACCAAGAGAGAAAGCAATATACCTATATTGCACTTACAACAGCTACTAAAAATTAAATTTTTCTTCTCAATAATAATATAAGTATATATTAAATACATCATAATCATTACATACATAGATCCTTAAAAGTTAATAATAATAATTAAGTTGTAATATATAATATATAATTGTTATTATACCTTTATATGTAAAATGTATTATTATTAATATTATATTATACTTCAATCCTAATTTTGGTCTTAGCTAAAAAAGGTAGATATTATTCAAAACTGTTACATAATAATTGCATAGTTAATATTTGGAACCACAATATGTAACATAGAAAGAAAAATACGAATGTGTACATTGTCGTTACTTATTTGGCAACGAGCGCCCGATAAAGGATGTTTTGAAGTTAAAATTCGATCAGAATATCTTTTTAACAGCCAGGTACAAACAATTATTAGTTGGTTAAAAAAAATTGTAATTATTATCACTCGATTACAATATGGTAATACATATTTTATTTAAATTTATAATATTGTAATTATATGTTATACATCACAAATATTAATATTAAGTATATATACATATATATATATATATATATATATATATATATATATATATATATATGTTTGTCTTAACAAAAAATAAAACAAAAATACCGCTAAAAGGCCACTTAGTTGTTTATGAAAAAAATGGATTAAAATGCCATTAAATATGTATTTTCTCTTAAAGAAAAAAAAAAATTAAACACGATATAAGGCAAATTCATATCAGCAGTGAACATTGAGATTTTATTATCTTTTAAGTCTCAAATACTCATTATTTTATTTTTATTTTTTTAATAATATAATAAAATGTCCAAGTTATATACTATGAGAGACAATTTTTTTATTTCTGAAACAGAAATAATACTAAAACAAAAATTTAATGGTCAGTAAGTTTCCATCACCATATTATAATAAAATACAATTTTTTTTTATTTATTTATATATATATATATATATATATATAAATATATAACACTTTCATTATTAATTTCTAAGTAATAATATGTTCTTTGACCATTTTTGATATACTATATTATGTCTAATAATCATAATACAATATAATATGCTCGTTACAATATTCTATAATACATTAATTTCTAAACGAAAAAAAACCTTAATAGTTCAAGTAATATGACGTTTTATCCAGAATAATAATATTATATATATATTGTAATAATGTTATGTTTACCAGGCATGACTAGAAATATAAGAGTTACTAAGTTATACGTTATAAAACTAGCAGCACACATGAAAAATAAAAATATAATAACTACTATAAACTATTTGATAATTTTTTTTTTTTTGAAGTTGGCAAAACCAGAGAGGGCAACAATAAAAACACCAAAACACGCCCATAAAAAAAACAAACAATCTTTTTTGGTTTTTTTTTTTTTTTTTGTCAATACACATTACATACAATTCCAGAATTCCAGATGATGACAACATGATACAAATATTATAATAAAATAATATGTATATCATTTTTAAGGCACATGTTTAAAATGGTCGAAGTTCAACAAAATCCGAAGAGATCAGGTTAGATTACACTAGGTTAACATTCTAACCTATCCTACACAACTTACATGTAATAAAAGTAAGACAGGGCCAAATGCTGCATTTTTATTTTTTGCTAATATTTAGCACCTCAATATTCATACGCGACAAACCCGTGCACAGTGGGCAGGAGTGTCCTGGTTCTTACGAACGACAATTTTATTGTATCACAATAACTTGAAAATGTTATATATAGGACAAAACAAAACATATAGAACACACACACGACAAACGATACATTATTTTTGTATATTATTGATATCACAATTTTTTTTTCACATTTGGTGTCAAAAGAAATATAATATGTACCTTTATTACACAAATTGAGCTACTTCATATAAAGTATATTATAATATGTAAACAAGATGATATTTTTAAGGCCAGGTGGTGATTCTTTTTCGTCGTTTGCCAACATAAATAATAGTATGTACTCGAGAAAAATAATTCAATAATAATACAGCAAATAATAAAGCAAGAAGAAAATTTTTTAAAAAAAAAAAAGGAAAGAAAATAGTATAACATTTTAACCCTGTTTTATCATTATTTTATTTATATATATATATATATATAATTTTATTTTTTTTTTGTTTTGGTTAATCGTATTCGCAGAAAAATAATTGAATAAATAACAGACTTGCAAAAATCACTAAAATATGGAAATCATGGTGCGCAGAGACTATTACTTTTGAGCAAAAACAAGACGAAAACTTAAAAGTTATCTCTGCACATAAAAAACGTGCTATTTATATAAGAAACGTCCCGACAAATAGTTATCATTTAATATAATATACATTTATATATTAAAAATATTATTACAAGATATGAGATGTTTTAATTGGAAAATAATAATTTATTTTTTCTTTGCACAAATTTCTATTAATAAATTGTATAACCGCACCACGCGTGCACACATACTACTATATAATAATACCTATCGTTTTACACAAAATCCAACAAAAAAATAAAAACAAATTTTTTTCAGTCTAACTGACATAATCACATAAAGGACAAATATTATTACAATATGGTTACCAACAGATTTATAGACACTGAATAGGAGTTTTGTCGAATTTATAATAACAGATATGTTATAAACCCCTAAATATTTGTATTTTTTGGTCAATAATAAAAAGGTCTGTAGAATTCATTATTATTGTTATTATAATTAATTTTATTATAATTATTATTATTATTATTATTATCATAACTATCATTTTATTGTCAAAACTCTTCTCAACAAACCCTATGATTGTCTGTTGGTAACAGTAAATGATGAACTGGACTAGTTTAAAATATCAACAGTGTACTAGCATATTATATTTATACATAGTATATAATAATAATTATATATATATATATATATAAGTATGTATATTATGTAAATAAAAATGTATTTAATTTTTTTTTTTAGTAAACGAATATTTATTTCAATACTTAATCTGTTTAGTCTTTTGTTTTCTAGTAATGACTGCTGGTTCATGAGAACTTAGTATCGGGATTAATTATCATTTCACAGACTTTATTTTGTACATTCGCTATACAAATTCTTACTACATTACATTACAACATTATAATAAGATAGAAGAACTAGTTTTAATAGGAAATAATCGCGATGTCATTGTGAAACATTAACGAAAACTGAGTTATATTATAATAGTAATAGATACTCTGGTAAAGAAGAAATCACATGGTTAATTTTTTTTTTTAAACGTTTAATTTTAATTTGGTAACATATTTTATATATTTCAACAAAATATTTAAACATGAATATAAGTACACACTATAGTGCTAAAATATAAGCAGATATACCGGGTAACCAGTGAAGGGGCAGTGGTTAAAAGTGTATTGTTCAAAGAGTACAATATTATTACATAATAAATATTTAGTTGAACACATGAACACACCCGACTATAACATAATATTACGCTGTGCATTACAGAAGAAAAAATTTTAACTTAATTCACCAATTCCCCTCAAGAAAAAAGTTTTAATAATAATAACAACAAAAATAAACAATATGCTACACTTAACATTTACATTTTTTATTGTTGACATTAATCACATTAGTTACAAATACAGCTATAGTATGAAATATTATTCAAAAATACTAATACCCCGCGCCCCCTCGGTCTTCTAAAATAAAGAGAAAAAATCAAGCTCAAAATTACGCAACAAAGACTAATATTCCTAAATCATATTTATACATATAGAATATTTATAATTATTGGAAAAACACACTTAACGACTTAGAGAACGAACACCACATGCATACAAACCCTAAATCGTTTACATAATATTATTTGTCTATGAATTAAAAATAAAAATCCGCACAATACTCCTCCTTATAGAGCCTAAAGACACTCAAACATATCTAATTGCACGTGCATGAAACACTTCTCAATATTCAATATCAGTCTCAAAAAAAAAACATCATTATCTATCAATAGGCTCTGTGATGTTAAGGATTACACATTAAAAATAAAATAACGCTTTACTTAAAAATAACTTTCATAAATATTACACTCGTTTTTAAAAATCATTATAATCAGTATTATTCTTTATATTATTTAACTAATTGAACATCGTGGCACTTTTTAATCACAAATCTGTGTTTCGATATGAATTCGACATAACAAATAGGTAAATGATGAATATAATATTATTTAAGGTAAGAAAAATTTAACGCCAATAGGAGTAAAACTTAAAATAAGAAATACAATTGACCCCCTTTTTACTATTATTTCTCTTTAAATTTTACATTTTACATTTTTTTTTTTTTGATTATGAAACGTGCTTATTTTTTCGAAATTTAATGTGCATAGTATTCAAAAATACAACTTTATGCACATATTATACAAACACGTGGTTAGTTGAATCGAGTTAAAATGTTTTAATGAGAATTTTTAAATTCTACTGAGGTAATTACCCACGAGGAACTTTGTAAATAAACTAAAGAATAATCAATAACACCATAATATATATGAATACATATACACACAGATACGAAAACATATGATATTATTTAAAATATATATATATATATATATATATATATAATAATAACTAAAGAAAACCAATGGACAAAATGAGTATTGCTTACAAAGGACTATAATGTTTAGGAATGCACTCATGAATGGCTAAGAGTATGCGAATGATTACGGATCAGACTAATTCAGTAGGAAATATATTACCCAAATATATGTATTATATGACCAAAACGAATGTCCAAGTTAGAATCACACAAGGGACCGACACTTCAGTGTGCATTAGGTACAATGTTCAGTAATGAGTATTAACGGTTTTGTCTGTTTATGGAAACTTATTAAATGACTGGATTTATGGATGAATAGGGGACACAATATAAGTCATGACGATTCATTCTTCTAATTTCATAATATTTGTTACACAAAGGCCATATAGGTACACACATACAACTTAAATAAAGTGGTTATTGCTTAATAGTTCAGACAAAAAATGCCAAGAGTGTAATTCTTTAAGTGTGAATGATTTTTAAAATTTTTTTTTCAGTATCACATATAAGTGAGCAGTGAAATATCAATATACATATATATATATATAAATTAATTTAATGCATAAATAATTATTTGATTATGACTTTTTGTGGTAATACAAAATCACAATGTGTCTGAGGCAAAGCACACAATTATTATACAAAATAACAAACACATAAATATATACATACACATATATATATATATATATTTTTTTTTGTATATAAACTACATACCCCTGACACAACTCCCGAATCTCATACACGCCTTAACTTATATTATATAATCTTAGAAAAAGATTCCAATATGTAAAATAACTTTGAATATATTATAAATTATAATAGTCTATAAAATAGAAGGACGATTCATATTTAGTTAACATTTGTGACAAATATTATTACATTAAAAATATTGTTAGCTTAAAAACTATTGACTAAAAATTAACCACACATTAATTTTTTTACATTTTTTTTTTTTTTAATTATTTATTTAGGTTATTAAGGTAGTTTAAAGTTTTATTATTAAAAAAAAATATATATATGTATATAATATGTATATACTTATATATAATTAATCATCAATTTATAATATAATAATAATAATAATAATAATAATAATAATAATAATAATAATATCAAATAAAAATAATAAAAATAATAATAACAAAATAAACATGAATAGGTTAATATTACTTTTTGGTTTTACTTGGCAAAGATAATTTATCTACGGATATATTTGTGTGTTTAAAAATTATCTAAAACTTAATTCTAGTGCGGAGTGCATCACACCACCCCTCCCCCCCACAAAAAATAAAAACATTAAATGTACTCATATAATTTTAATTAAAAGTAAATTTATACCTATGGAAGACACATCTACTTGCCTTCTGAACACAATCAATCTTAAATTTAATAATAATTGGGAAAGTATCACTGTCCGATTTTGTTTTTTTTTTTTTTTTTTGGTTTTATTGTTGAAAATGAACCAATAATGTATATGTAATATGTATATATTATTATTGATGTGCCACAAAATAAGATTACAGAAAGGTGTAAGAGAAAAGAACACTAAATAGGAGATCAAAAAAATTGTAGTAACAATTTTTAGAAATGTTATCTTATTAGACATTATAGACAATAAAATTAAGTAAAAATAATTTATTTGTAGTTAAATGGCACGTTTGAAAAAAAAAAATATGGAAGTACAGAACAAAAATTTTTTAACTGGTGATGAAATTCGTCAGTCGGAAAGAAAATTAATTTATATTGTATAATAATAATTATAATAATAACCATAATAATAATAATAATAATAATAATAATAATAATAATAAAAATAATAATTAAAAAAAATTCATATTTATAGATCACAGTATAAGGATAAGCATTTTTTTAACAATTTTATTTATCACATGAAGCGTATTGGTTTTAGATCGTCTTAAAATTATCAACATACATGTTTTAAAAATGGTACTTTTGGGAAGTCACTTCTCCAAAAAGACGTTTACCCCACAATACTTTATAATACTTAAAAAAAAAAAAACTATTTAATAATAAACCAACAGATATTGAGATCTACGGCTAAACTAAATTTAAATGGTGATTTTCCAAAAGGTATGAGGAGGAAATTTTGTAAAGAACTAATTGACATTTTTTTTTTTTTTTTTATTTTTGTTCTGCAACATAAAATATCTCAAATCATTTATTATTTTTAAAAATATTGCTAAGTGAACAATTTAACAAATTTTATATTGTATTGCAACAAAATTGATTGTATTTAGAGATCATGTTATTGTGCATGAAAAAAACATTATTGGAATATTATATTTATAACATAAATATATATATACTTTAATAATTTTTTTTTTGTCTTCCAATAAATTATATTTCAAGTCTTAATAATTTGAATTTAGAATAAACTGACTTAAACACATTGCTAAAACAAAAACAAAAATTACAAATGATAACTGAAAATGTATTTCAACATTTTGTATGCGTATGTGTGTGTGTATGTGTATATGAATATTTTTTAAAATAATCAGTCTTAATTTATATTTAAGCAGTCAAAAAAAAAAAAGAAGCTATTTCCCCCAAATTTGATTTAAAATGATTTGTAAGTGAATAATGTTTAAAATGTTTATCAAATATTGATTCTCACTTTCACTCCATTATTATACTTTAAAATTTGTAAAATTAATTATAGATATGCCCAAAAATTGATTAAATGCTAAAAGGTAAAATTGTATAATTTCCTAACATTATATAATCTAAGAAATTAAAATCTAAAAAAAATTAGGCAACAATTTTATGGTTGGTCATCGCTTAAGTCTTTAACACAAAATACTGTTTTTGTACTAGTAACAATCTATTCAAATACATGAAGGTCCATATACAAACACATGCGCATATACATTCATTTTTTTTTTTTTTTTTTTTTTTTTTTTATTTTGTCTTTTTCTTCTTTATAGGGAAGATATTTTTGTACTTAACCTTCTAATTTAAAACACAACAATAATAACAACATGGACAATAATCTTTTTGCTTTTTTTTTCATTTTGTCTTTTACTTCAAATACATATATAAATATATATATATTATATATATATATATATATATAAAATATATTTATAATAGTTTTAGACCTATAAGTTTAACACTATTCCTAAAACGATTTATAATAATAATTTTTAATTCCTTTTTAAATAATTTAAAAAAAAAAAAAAAACATAGGAAGAAATTCATACATAATATTGTAGCTGGTGAACATGATAAAATTACACACTAAAAATCTCATTCATAAATTAAAAACACCCCGTAACCGTCTTAATGTCTAAAGTCACAATACTACTAAATATTAAAATTAATTTATAATCCTTATTTACTTTGGTAGTATACAATTAAAAATAAAAAGAAGAACTCACGTTATAAATTAATAAAATAAAAACATTTAAGTCTTAAAAAAAGTTATAGGTGTGCTGCCATAACGATTACCCAGAGTCGAATGGCAAGCAGAATAAAATATTATAATATCTAATAAATAAACTTGGCTCGATTTGTTTTAAGCTTAATAAATAAGTCGATTAAGTGTTCATGGTGTTCTAAAACCTTATAATAAAAATGTCATTATATTTGGACTCTGTTATAAGTCAGGATTGTGTGTATAAATATATTAATATGTATATATATCTATCTATCTATTTCTCTTTTACATCGTTTCACTACCTAAAAGATCGCCAGGCATAAAAGAATTTAAAGATGATGGTGTGGTGCGATGTGGATCAATTTGGTCAGCTCCACCCCCCCATAGAGAAGATGTATTACTAGGAGGTCCAGAGTTGTTGCCACCCCATAATTGACTGTTGGCCCAAGTATCTGAACCCTGTTGTCCCTGAGAGTTGCCATTTCCATTACGACCATTATTCCAGTTGGATTGTTGTTGTGAAGAATTATTGCCACTTGCACTGCCTCCACCACCACCACTTAGATGTGTAAGTAGCATTTGTACTTCAGCATCTGTCGGTGATTCAGCAAATATTGTTGTATTGCTGAGCACACAATTGTTCAATGCTCCTTGAGCCTATTAAAAAAAGCAGGTACCCCCAAAAATGTTTGTATTCATATTTTGCCAGTAAGTTATCACTAAAATATACATATTTGTGTGTTATTTTTATCTTGAATTATAATATTTTTGTAATAAATAATATATTAACCAAATTCTATATTCAGAATAACACGGAAAATTTATAATTTATTAATATTATTTAATAAAACATGTTGTACAATATTGTGAAAACAAGTTTACTGTTGGTTCAACAATAGTTACAATTGCCCCGTTTACGAGTTTATGGTAATAATTATCATAACTAGCAGGGTACCACTATCATAGTGTGGAACCAGATAAGATACCAAAAATGTCAAATGACTCGAAACATTTAAAGTTAAGTAAATCAAAATGTTTACACATACCTTGGACTATATGAAAAACAAATTATTATGTAGAACATAGTCAAAATATTCTATAAGCTATCAGTAAATTCAACAAGCGCGCCCTTAGGGCGGTCCAAATAGGCATTGACCTCCATTAAAATTTGTATTATTGTATCTAATTTAATATTAAATGTATGACATACTATATTGTTCAAAAATATTTCTCATACAGAATTTTTTTTAAATTTATCCATTATGTTAAACAATTATTAACAGTTACGCAATAACAAAAATAACAATGATTGTAATTTATCCACCACTATTTAACACGTTAACTGTGGCATGGGTTGCATTGAGGGATCCCCCTCCCCTCTGCGGAATTTGTTTTGGCCCAAAAAGTTCAAAGTATAAATGTAAAAATAACCGGAATTTCAAATGATGACAAATTTAACAATATAAGAGTTCTGAAGAGGCGTAAGAACAAATTACTTGTGAAGTTGTTGTTCAGTGTTAAAATAATACTGAATTATGTTATCAACTTATTTATTAGTTAATATTACTGCATGCTGCATAAAAAAAAAAAACCTAGAAACTTAATTAAATTGTTAAATTAATGACAGACTAATAAGCTAAAACTGAAGTCAATGGTTTGATCAATATTTTTTCTTAGGACATATGGTAATTCCAATAATTCTGCATTGTTTAGTGATTTGTTGAAGTTTACAGTGTGTGATGATATTTTAAAGGATCATTTTAAAATTGCCAAAAAGAATGCAACTTATGACATACTTATGACATGGTATTCAAAATGATTTTATTAATATTGTTTAGATTGTTATTTCAAATTTAGGAAAAAATTTAAAAAATTGTACGTGATTCTATTCTTGCCGATGAAACAATGAATATATGTCAAATAGAACAAATATCAATATATTTTTATTGAAAATGAGATTAATAAGCACTTAATAAATTAGATGCAGAAAGTATATCAAATGTAATTATCAATTCCTTACTCAATTAGAGATTAAATTTTAATTAATTAATCAAGGTTATGATAGTGCCAATATAAATTGGGTACAAAAACTAATTCAAGATAAATGTATTAGAGCAATATATGTACAATGTTTAAGTCACAAATTAAATTAAATTCTAAATAAGTTAAATTCTATTAAAGAAATTTAGAACACAATTGCAATTATCAAAGAACCAATTTGTTTAAAGAAGTTCTCTTAAAAGTTCAGTTACTTCAAGTTTAACAAAATTAAGTTTAACAAGATTATATGAAAATTATATTGATATTATTGAAATTTTAAATTATATTAAAATATATGGCAATAAAGACACATCAGTTGAATAACAATATATTTGTAGTCGATAACTACTAAATAATTTTTAGTTTGCTTAAGAATTATTGGTAAGTATTTAGAATTTATGGAACCAGTCACTTATATATTGAGGTGTAGATGTTGATTTATTTGAAATACAAAATATACTAAGTTAACAGAAATTATTTCAGCAGACAGATTTAACAGAGAACAGGTTTTTAATATTTTAATGAAACACATAAAACATAATGCTGATGTAGTTTTTGAACTTGTTGGTCCTAGAGTTTTTTTTAAACAAATTAACCTGCAAATAATCTGTAGTAATCAATTGGACTTTCAAATTTTCTTTCAATTTTGGACTAGATAATATATTATCTTTAAAATAATGATTTTAAGAATGAAAATGCTTTATTGTCTATATTTTCTCTGCATCCAAACATTTTTTTAACGTTTTCAAAAGATAAAATTATTTTACATTTTTTCAGATTAAGACTTTTTATAGATAATTTGTGGATAATGTTGTATAGGAAGCTTTAATAACCTTTAATTTGTGGGGTCCAAAAGAGGTGCCAGATATAATGGATTTAATTGATATTATAAAGAGCAACCAAATTACTACCTTCTACACAAATATATCAAAAACTTGAAAGGTCATTCAGGTAATTTTAATTTTATTCAACAGAAACTCTAACAAAAAATATAATTTCATTGTCTTAAAACTTCAATAACTAATTAAATTAAAATTTGGATTTAAATTTAAAAAATAGTTTCTACTATCTAGTTTAAAAACCAGTCATACATTTTTACAATGTAATTATTTTTTTTTTTTTTACTTCCTTAAAAAGGTTATAAATGGTTTTGTAATTCAATCTTTTAATAAATATTAAATGACTTAGCTCTATTATGTATGTATAAAGACATTGTCAAAAAGCCGTTCCAAAAATTTAAGCTTCTCACCAAAACATCAGATGGTACTTTGATTTTCTGCCCATTACTACGGTTCAATGGTTTTTTTCCCCATGACAATTTTTGGTAGTTGGAGATAAATTGTATGTTTAAATCTCCCCCAAAAAGAATACTAGCATACAATTTGTATTTAATAATTAATATGCATAAAGCAATTTAAATAAACATGCATTTCAAAAGCATTAATTTGTATAATAAACCTACAAAAATAATTTTTTTTTGTGATGTAGAGGTGTATTAAAATAACTACCAAATATTCTGATGTAACCTTTTAATTTTGATCTTGTCCCAAGTAGGATTTTATCCTGCGGGCGCGCTTGAGTAAATTATCACTTAAAATATTTACTATAGAGAAAGAAACAGGTAAAAATCACTTACCTTGCTAGCTTCTTCCCTAGTTGAATATTTCGCCAACGCTATTCCATGATTTAGGTACATATGAAAATTCAATAATGGTCCATGTTGAATGCAAAGAGTTTTTAATGTTGATCCATCAATCTGTTAAATAGATATCAAAATTAATAACAAGAATGAAGATATCGAAATATTAATATTTGTTTAACCATTTTATTAAAAAAATTACATTGTAACATACAATTATAAATTTAATATGCGCATGTATTTATTATTACACAAAATGTATACATTATCATATCACAATAATCTGAATTACTTCAGTTTAAAATATAATTAAATATTATAAGATAAAACCTTGTCTAAGTACATATCATATGACAATACAGAATGATCAAACTTTCGCAACACTCATTATCTTGAGAAAATTAATTTTTTTTTCGATATTTGTTTTATATAACACATTTTAGAAACAAACAGTAAAACAATTTTAAATTAATGTTATTTCTTGTTAATTATATTAAAATTTGCATAATTAGATAGAATATTAGTTAAAATAAAATTTTTAATTTCGGTCAATTAGTTGACAAGATATCCCACTTTAAAGTTTGGATCGGGCGAGAGCAAAAGTGAATTATTAAAACACCACAGCACCAAAACAGATGATATTCCACCACTGTATTTCCTCAACCTAAACTTAAAAAGTGGAAATCTCATCAATAGATTGACAAAAAAACAAAAATGTCAACACCAAAATTTATTTAAACTAATATTCTATCTATTTGTGAAAATTGTAATATTGATTGACAAAAAATTGTGGAGCTGTTTTTTCTTAAAGGTTCTATAAAGTAAATTTAAAAAAAAATTCAATACTTTCAGGGATAGATAATAAGTGTCTTGCGAAAGACTGATCATCATGTATATTATAGTACAATAAGTGAAATTATTAAAATTTATGTTCTGAAAATTTAATAATTATTTATTGTGATCTAAATTATTACTTGTTGTGTTAAGTTCCTTAGTAAGAGCCATGTACTAGTTAAATTGTTGGATGAAGATTGCCATGACGATGTATTATTGGAAGGCCATCGAGGCCAGCCATTATTAGGTGTATTTCCAGTTTTGTTGGAACCTCCAGTCAGACCTGGTGGTGGTCCACGGGACTTACCACTAGATCCTAATACTCCTCCCCAAAGATCATTTCCAGGGTTACTCTCTGCCCAATTATGTTTTGGTCCACTCACTTTACCCAAAGGACTGTAAAAACACAATTTATTAGCACAAATGTACAAGTAATTGAATAAATAACAAGATTAATGTTTACTAACCTAGAAAAAGACGATTGGGTTGATGACGGGGGTGGATTGAAACTCCATGTTGAAGATGACAGCGATAAGGGTGTTAGTGGCATATCAGCTGATTGAGAATTGGTTGGAGATGTCTTCCCACCACTATTAAACAAGTCTGAATTATTTGAGTCTTTTATAGTAGCAGCTAATGATAGAGGACTGCGAACTACTGACCCTGGTGTAATAGTAGGATCATCTTCAATATTCTTAATTTGATTACCCTATAAAATATTTGTAAAAAACAATTGATATTTGATTTAAAACATAAGAACTTGATTTCTTACCAATTAAACACAATTTAAACACAAATTAAAATTAACCCACATTTTAAATTTAAAAGATTATTAAATATATTACGATTCATTAGTTAGAGTAAATAGTGTTTTCATATTGCAAATTTCACAGTTCACCACAGTATCTATTACCAATAAATATTATAGAATTATAATTTTCTTAAGATATTATTCATAAAATATTAAATTATAGTTAAAATCATAATTCAGGAAAACTGAAAATATAATATTTACCTTCCATGGTTTTCCCGGTTCAAATTCTGGCACAAGATCAGTAGCAAATGCAGATGATGCAGAATTGGATTGCGAATTTGATCCATTAGGCCAACCTTCTTTATTGTCTTCATTGTCTGGCCATCCACTATCAGAATGAGCACCAACATTAGTCCAAGTACTAAAATTAATTTTGTAAGTTACGAAAAAAAAATAAAGAATATGTAATTATTATTACACATCAAATTAAAATGAATTGATTAAATAAAATTAAAAATGATTATTAATTTAACTATATGACAAAAATACATGGGCATTAATACATATTAACTTTCAAAGATATAAAATCATAAAATTTACCCATCTCCTTGACTGAGTAATGAGTTAAATGAAGGAGACGTATTGCCAGTTGATTTTGAATTTGCTCCTGGTGCTCGGCTAAATTCATTATTACCTATTCCTAAATCATCTTTATTAGGTAATTTCCACTGATTTAAACGTGATTGTTGACTTGTTTGAAATGCTTGCCCACTCTAGAAATACAAAGATAGTATTTTTAAATTAAATGTTTTAATAGTCAAACGATTTAAGATTAAAAACAGAAATTATGAATTTATAACATTATAATAGGTATATATAATCTTACTATTTGAGGATCTTTATTCATTGCCAAATCAGAAAAACCTGACTGTAAAAGTGTTAATGGATCATTTTTAAAAAAATCACCCACTTGCCCACCCATTAGGCCTGATAATCCAGAAAAATTGGATTGATTCTGATGTGCTTGTGCTTTCATATGCATGGCTTGATTGTTAGCAATTTGATTCTATAAAATAGATAATTTTTAATAAATGTTAGTTATACAATAATAAGTAATTGTAACAAGTATATTTTACTTGAAGTGATGCAATTTGTTGTCGGGCTTTATTAATAGCTATTGCAGCTGTTACCATGGCAGGACCAGATTTGGGATTGTTAGCAACGGCTGCTTGTATTTGAACATTTTGTTGTAAAATTTTGATCTGCTGCAATAACTGATTAAGCATTATTAATGTTTGAGGTGCTAATGGCTGATTTAATATTTGATGATTTAGATATCCAGCTTGTACAGCCATTTGAATTTGTTGCACTAGCATTCGCAATTGTTGTGCAGTTGGTTGATTTTGTATTTGTCTAGAACCACCGCCCTATAATAATAATAAAATGAATAGTGTTTATATAATTTTCTTTGTGATATATAAAAATTGTATACTTGAGAATATTGTTGTTGCATTGAATTTTGTTGGGTGGGTGGCTGTTGAGCTAATAATTTCTGTAGCATAACTTGTTGTTGGTTAGAATTGTTTCCAATCTTTAATTATCAAACACATAACACATTGAATAAATATTATCAAAAAGTATTTATGAATGATTTAAACACTTACAGATGGCACAGCAAAGGGTAATTGTTGTGAATTAAATCGTTGTTGATTGATGTTAGATCGATCAAATGGATTTTGATCCTCAGGATGCTGACCACGGCCTCCGTGAGAATTCCATGAATCTAAACCACCTCCACTAGGACCTCTAGTAGACATTAAATACTCTAATGCTTCTTCCATACTAATATTATAAGAACGTGTAACTGCTTCTACATCTTCTTTCTGTAATATTTTAATTTATTTATTAACAATATCATGCATTAGATAAAAATATCAAATATACCTTGACTCCCATTTCAGCAAGAATTCGGTAAGATTTACTTTGCCAAATATACTCTTTATTTTGATTCTTTTGTCCCTATATGAAATAAAGAATTGATTATAAACTGAAATTTACATATATCAAGAATTGATTAACATACAATATTTTTCTGTCCCCAAGAACTTGGATCCATCTCATTGTTACTACAGTCGCCCCAAGAATTCTTAGACTTGGGACCCGGTCCCCATTCAGAATTCGGCCAAGGACCTCCTGCATTGCCACTCAATCCCATTTTATCATCACCCCATGGACCAGCAATATTCAAATCATGCTGGCTTCCTCCACCGACATCACCCCATGTTCCATTTCTAGAAAGTGACATTTTATAAATTCCAAGAACAAATATGCTAAAATAATGATTTTTAAAAAATTACCTTGGATTTCCAGGCCATAATTGTTGATCAGCCATTTTATTAGTAGGTGGCATACCTGCCCTATTAGGCGGAACACCTGGGGGACATTGATTACCCATGTTACTAGAACCACTATTATTTCTACCAGCTGCTGCTGCTGCAACTGCAGCAGCCATATCTGCTTTACCCCAATGCTTATTCATATTGTGTTGAGTGCCCAATAAACCACCTAAAAATAAATAAATCATTACTTTGAGGTCATTTTAATATACTATCATTAACAAAAAAAAAACAATAAATTAGGAAAAAAATATTACAATTATATATTTTAACAATACATTTAGATAAGTACTCCATAAAACTACTTCTTCACCTTGTGCCTATTTACATTACAGCAAAGAATATTTTCTATTTATTTTTTACTCTTAAACATTCAATACAATCAAGTATATATGTTTAAAATAAATAAATATTATTATTATTATTTCAACTAATACAATATTTTCTTTATTTGTAGAAAAATATGTTTGAAGTCTTGCTTAACAAATGTATAAGTTTTTTTTTTTTATCTGAATAGTTATCAATATGTTATACAAATAAATCTTCAAACCTTTTTTTTTTACACTTCTAACATATATATAAAACTATTTACTATACTACAAATTTTTAACTTAGAAATTCTATAGACAGATTAAACTAAAAACTTAATAGGTTTAATTGTCTTACCGCCAGGCACATTTGGCCTAGTTTGAGTATTTCCCCATAAAGATGTACCATCATCATAATTTAATAAATTGCGTCTGTGATCGGTGGGTGATGGTTCTTCCCATCCATTGCCTTTGTTGTTGTTATTCATAGCATTTATATCTTTGGGTGGTGGTGGACCCGACCACTGATTAATTACTGAAAACAGCAGAAAGAACTTTATGCTTTAATTTATAAATGATAAATTTAAAACCACTTTAAAGAAATATTTTAATAAAATATCATAAGAATTGAGTTTAAAGTAGATAATTAAGCTTTTAGAAATAATAAATATAAACTATATTCTTTCTTTGTGGTTTGATTTTCTTTCGGTACATATTTTTAAAATTTATTAACTTATACAAATAAAAATAAAATCATGAAGTTAATAGTATTCTACTACATACATTATTTAAAACACAAACAATAAACATATTCTTTAAATATTTATATTACAGGTTTTAAAATTAAAAATTATGATACTATAGAAAAAAAAAAAAAAAAAAAACTATTGTTTTTGGTTAATGAAATCAGTATGATAAAAAAAATAAAAATACTATGGTATATTATATTTTATACATATATATAAAGTAAAAATAAATTAATACTAAATTTCACACTAAAATTTTTAATTTTCACACCACTGCCAAATAACTATAAATATACTTCAGTACTTTAAAACAAAATATAATTCAATAAATTATATAAGAATGTTTCAGGACCAAATTTTGGCTCAGAGTCGAAGTTTTACTTATATAATCATTAATGGTATAACCGTTTTATCTAATTACATCATAAAATCTAAAATAAATAAGGCTTGAAGATTTATTATTATTATTTGGAGATACCTAAATTGCCAAAAACTTTAAACCGAATATTGGCAACATTAAATCAATTTCATTTAGTTTAACAAGTATTATAACACAGCACAAAAAAATGTAAAATAAATACTAATTTTTAATCAAAGTGAAGTCAAATAAATTAAACAATAAATCTATAGTTTTATGTTATCTTTATTCAACAAACTTTATGAAATAGTATAATTTCTTTAACAATGAACTCTCACCACCATTTTTAGATTAAAGACAAAAACTAACCTAACCTTATCATACTCGCACTTACTGTGCCAGTCTAACTAACACGTGAAAATACACTACTTAGAATTTAAAATATAGAGTTTCGATTGAAATTATAGAATTTAACACAGATGACAATATTTAAAAAGAATATTTTTGGGTGCATCTAATGGCTTTTTTTTTTCTGAATATTGGCAGGTATAAAAAAGTTACAATAAGGTAGTTTTTTTTTAAATATTGTGAGTTTTAGATATCCTCTAATGCAGTTGTTGCCAACTAGTATTTTATAAACCATTTTTAAGGTATCTGAAGTCTCATTAAAAAAATATTTTAACCAATTTTCAATTCTAAGAAATTATTTGTAATCAAATTTTTTCAACTACATATTATGTGAGCAAAGCTTTCAATTTCTTTTACTATTAACAATATAGACTAAAAAAATTGTTTGAATGACGATATGAGTTTTGCAATGAGCAACACAATAAATCTATTGATAAGAAACCAGAATTAAAAATAAATACTAATAAAAACCAAAACATATTTTTTTATGTTTTAACTATTTAAAAATTTGATTTCATTATATATTTAAAATTTAAAACTTAATTCTTTAACCATTTAGATCCCAAGGATCTTTTAAAAATAATATAATTACCTGGTACAGGCCCTTGTCCAAGTTTTGACCCCGGTGTAGCTATGACTGAAGGTGGAGGTCCAACTGAAGGTGGTTGTACATGATGTTGCATGTGATGTGGTGGTGGTCCACCCCACATAGGTTCCATACCAGCACCTCCACCAGTTAAAGTTCCATTCAAGCGACCACTTATACCACCACGACCAATCGCATCACTACCAATTCCTCTACTTCATTAAACATCAAACAAAATTATAAAATTAAGTGTACAACAATATTTGTATAAAAAAAATACCTATGGTCAATTCCATTTGGCAAAATATCCCGACGATGGGGACCCTGGTCAATTGACCCTGGTGGGCGATTGAGATCATTCCATGCAGTGTTGCCAGAATTCCAGGATTGATTGTCAGGTCCAATATCTTTCTTGGGTGGTCCACCCCACATTGGGCCACCAGGCCCTGGTGGAGGAGGCTGTCCCTGACCCCACTGATTGCTCATAGTATTAGTTGGATTTATACCCCAGTTACTATTATTTTCTTCCACTCTAGGTACACTACCAACATCATCGTCTTCACCCCATGTACCACCAATATTGGAAGCTGGAGTATGCCCCCAAGGAGTTTTTGAAGTATTTGGTACTGGTATCTATAGAAAATTAAACACAATTTATTTAATTTATCTTTGGAACAAAAATTATAAAAAAGAAATTACTTGTAATGGAGGTTGACCACCATTTCGTAAAGTAGCTTCCCACAAATCTGTACCATTATTAACCTTACTCCATCCAGGACCGCCGGTTAATCCAGTTAAAGGCCCATCCTTGGTATTAGGTTCTGGACTATGTGGAACCTCCCACTGACTGTCTTGATTAACATGCTGGCCACCCCATCCATCTTGAGAATATAAAGCTTCTCGCATTGTATTAATTTGTTCCAATTGTTGTTTAGTTGATGAGTTAACAACTCCATTCCCACCATTTGTTGGAGGTGAATTACTCGATTGAGGATTTGAAATTGTACCCGAAGTAGTGCTAGCTGTTGTAGTTGTTAATGATGAGTTACCAGAAACTTGAGGTCCCGAAGAGGCTGGTAGATTTTTTCCGGCTGCTTGAGCCCACGAAGTAGTGTTTTGTTGATTGTTAGTTGTTTGTGATGTAGATATAGTATTATTGCCGCTTGATGATCCTGAATTTGAATTTTGTCCTTTATTACCTAATAAATAATAAATATATTAATATACTAAATATTAAATAATTATCTTAAAAAAAAAAATATATCAATACATACCTATATTAGATGTTTGACTAGTATTATTTGAGCTGGTACTTGAGGACTGTGGACTTTGTTGCCAAGGGCCATTAGAGACAGTATTTGGTGGAGATTGGCCATCAACAAGTTGATTAGTATTCCAGTTTGAAGTACCAGTGACAGATGCGGGTACTGGTGTAGTGCCGGGATTTCCCCAACCGGCTGTAGCTGTACCGTTACCAGAAGCCAAAGTTGTTTCACCACCTCCTAACAAACGACACAAAGTGGAAATACCCCAATTTCGTTTGTACTGTGCGATTGGATCAACATAAAGTTTGTTAAATGGAATGGTTTTGTACATTGCGCTTTGATCATCACTGTCATTATCACTTGTTGAACAATTAGACTTAACCCTAAAACTAATAGTAGTAGTAACATCTTTTATGTGAGCACCAGAGTAGCAAGCCAGTAAGTTTCGTCTTCCAGTTCCCCCCCTTGAAGAACTATCAACGTCACTGGCAGTTACCATCGTACCATACAAATCCTAAAAGAAATTAAAACGAGTATAAAAATATTATTAATAGTATTTTTAACATAATGCAATAAAAAACGATGTTATATAAAGCTAAGACAAAAATATTTAAAAAAAAGTAAATAAATAAATTAATCTTACATTTAGGTAAAAGTATTCAAATAAAAATGATTTACCTGTGTTTGTTGATGGGACGGAGGATCTCTAGTAAATCTAAATGTTGAGCTGGATATCACAGACCAATTTAGGGGGGTGGTGGGCAAATGCAATACAAACAATGGTGATTGTCGGGTATGGCAGAGGGAGCCAGCTCCTCCTCCAACTACCACCCCGGTAATCTTATTTCTCGCTGTTATAGCAGAGTGTTCAGCCTTATCATTGACATTATAACATTCTAAGAAAAAAAAAAAGAAAAAACTTTTCGTACCTGTATTTGTATGTTTGGTTAAATTATTAATTTATTACCTGTACTTAAAGACAAAGCTTCACCACAATTTGAATTGGGTGGAAAGGTAACTTTTGTGGCACACACAATATCATCCTAAAAATAAATATAACTATATATCATAATACAATATATATTAATATCAATATCCATATTTGTATAAAAAAAACTTATACAACTATACATCAGCCATATCAATATGTTCACTGCCAATTGATGTACTTCGTGGAATTTTGAGCAAAACACACATATCTTGCTTTGGTATTAAGGATTTTCAGAATGTCATGATACAATAAATTTTCAATGAAATACCTTTTTATCAAAAAATTATGTAAACAAAAACTTTTTAGATTCATATATAAAATTTTATATTCTTCTTATTATGTTTACCCTAGTTTTTCAGTTGAAAACCGACTAGCCACGTTTGATTTTCAAATAGAAACCTATATTACAAATTCCATAAATAGATGAAGTTTTAGTTTAAATAAATGTTAGTTTTGAAATTTTTAATTAACGTCAACATGTTACTATTTGAAAATCAAAATTAGGTACGATATTCACTGAAAGAATACAACTCGCGCATCAAAATAAACGAGCTTCGTCACTTTTTGTGTTCAAATTTTCCATAATATGACCACCGATGTGTAAACACTACAATGAATACTCAAAAATATAAGATTCTAAAACAGTTTTACATGTCATTTTTTAAAAAAAAATATTATTTCGGGAAAATTTGACTGTTACGTGAAATTCTTAAAATCCTGTATATTACATATAAATATAGGAATAATATTAGATACCTAATATACATTGATGAACAAATATTTTATTATAAATACTACATCAACTTACCATCAAGTTCTTGTTTTTGTTTATCTTTATTTCCTCCTAAAACCAAAAATCATTTCATAACTTTTATGTTAATAAAATTGACATTTGCATTATTTATAAATAAATAAATATATTTAATTATTATTAATGTTATGAAAAAAGTTTAAATAGAAATTATTCTACTATAGTTATAATAATTGTTAATTATTCAATAACTGATCGAAGTTTACCTAAGCGTGGTTTACAAAAAAACTGTGAAACAAGTTAATAAAATATAATCAAACTAATCAACTAAATAGTAGTATCCTATATCCTACTAAGACATTTTTAATGATATTATTTTCAATTATGAAAATGTATTATAAGTACATGATAGGTCTAAGTTTTTTCTGATAGTAATAATTAAGCTGAAATATTAAGCTAGATAAATGGTAACCCACTTAAGTATACCAAAAGTTAGGTTAGGGTTAGATCCTACAAACAAGTGTAAAATATTTATAAAATTATAGAAATAATTTTTTTCTACAGTATTATAAAATATAATATAACTAATAAACAAGTAGATAAATATAATTTAAATATTAACAAACCTCTTTTTGTACAGCGTTTGAACCATTTGTATTAGATACACATATTATGACCATTAGGCTTATGACCGTTTATTCTTTGGCAAATTGATGCATATACCAAGTCTGGAATATAAAAAAATAATAATAATAACAAATAGGCTATTGGATAAGTATAGTATTTCAGTTCACAACTACCACAGGTGTTTACTATATCATACTAGAGAACGATTTAATATATTTGAAAAAATACATCTGTTCAAACACATTGGTTAACAACACACTAAAATGTTACAGACAAGAGCAAATTGTTAATTTTATTTTTACGATATTATAGCCTGACAAATCATAGTTGATAATTGAATTGTTATTGGTGAATTATTTATGAACACAATAAAAAAGAAACAAATGTAATTTGGGATATAAATAAGATTGTTTTTTTTTTTTTTAATGTTAATTATATACTTAAATTTAAACTTTATTAATTTATTAGGTAACATAAGTATAATAAACTTTATTTTAATACCTACAATATTAAATAAAAATTATTATTTATCATAATTCATGATGAAAACCATATTTTTGGTCATTATATATATTGTTTTTAAAAATAATATATTTATAATTGATTCTTAAAAATTAACCAAGTACATTCAGTGAGAGAGTTCAAAAATATGATCATAATTAATCATTAAATATATTTCTCATCATTATTACATAACTATTAATAGTGACTTATTAGTGTTTAAATCTACTAAGATAATATTATTTTAGAGACATAAATGATGTAGATATAATACAGATTTTGTAGTAAAATATTTAACATGAAATTGTATAGACAATTTAAACTATTTAAATAATTTAATATTCAGTGAGAGAGTTCAAAAATATGATCATAATTAATCATTAAATATATTTCTCATCATTATTACATATCTATTGATCTTTCTAAATAATAACTTAATAGTGATCAAATTGATTAAGGTAATATTGTATTGTAAACATAAATATAGATATATTACAGATTTTGTAGTAAAATATTTAATATGAAATTGTGTAATTTAAACTTTTTAAATAATTTAATATTCAGTGAGAGAGTTAGTTACATTATAGTATGGATTCTTCCAAACGCAACAGTATTCATGTGTAAATCAATTTAAGTAATTTAATGACAAATTATAATATAGGTACATAGATTTTGTAGTAAAATATTTAACATAAAATTGTATAGACAATTTAAACTATTTAAATAATTTAATATTCAGTGAGAGAGTTCAAAAATATGATCATAATTAATCATTAAATATATTTCTCATCATTATTACATATCTATTGATCTTTCTAAATAATAACTTAATAGTGATTAAATTCACTAAGGTAATATTGTATTAGAGACATAAATATAGATATATTACAGATTTTGTAGTAAAATATTTAATATGAAATTGTATGATTTAAAATTTTTAAATAATTGAATATTCGGTGAGAATTCAAAAATATGATCATAATTAATCACAAATATATTTCTCATCATTATAAAAATACATTTTTCTAAACAGTAACTTAATCATGTTTTGTAAAATACACTGATATTTATACAGTGGCAACTCGATAAGTTGAAAAACTTATAAGTCAAAATAAATGCATTTATCCCTTGCTCAAAAGAAAAACTATATTTAACATTCTGTGTTCCAAATATAGATTGATAATGATGGATAATTTTTATAATTTGTCCTAATTGCATCTATTGTGTTTATTATCATATTTTTCATTGGTTTATTGTATTTTTTATTTTATTTTTCATTTGATACTAAATAATATTAATAATTATTTAACTCTAATAGGTATCTATATTTTAAAAACTTGAAATCAAATTTTTTTTTTTCGTAAAACCTTGATAAGTCGAAAAAAATTAAATTTCAACTTACTGTATAAGATTATATAGTCAAATATTTAAAATAAAATCTTGTATTTTAAATTAGGTATTAAAAATAATAAACATTCAGTGAGAGAGTTTAAAAACATGATCATAATAAATTATTAGTAACGTTTTTCATCATTAATATTAAAATATCTATAGTTACTTCAAAATGCTAACAAAAATATATTTTTCAATCTGTAATTCAATATTATAAAAAGCATATTTGATAATTAAAAGTTTGGAAAGAAAAGCAGTATTAGGACAGTCGCCCCCCTAAAAATAGACACTTAATAGTATAATTTATATACTATTATATATATTAATATATAATTTACATAAGTAATATGGTAAAAAGAGTGCATAATTAGATGGAAAATAAAAGACAATAGACAAATAAAATAATAACTTAGAAAATAATACTTATCTACATAAATAAGCATATAGATTTTCTAGTAAAAATAGTAAAATATTCAAAACCCTATTAACTTTCATCATAAAATAAATGTCTTATCATTAAATAAAACTATAATAATGATAAGAATAACAAATAAATTCAAAAACCATAGAAAATGTATAAACCACAAAAATGGATAAACCACTTTATGTTTGTTTTAAATTGAATATAAAAAACCTACTAGAATTAAAGAAAATATTAATACAGTAAAGTAAAAAAAAAAAATATTAAAAATAACTCAAAATATTGATAACCTACAACACAATAATAAAATGTTCAACAAACATACATAATATATAAACTTCATAAGATTATTTTTTAATCAACTAATTAAAACTCTCATTATTATGAAATGATCACCTAAAATATGACCAAAATAGGTATAAAATAAACTAAGCCAACATCCTAATATGATTAACAAAATAAAATAGTGTTATTAAATTACACATAAACAACAAATTTATACATTTCAGTTGTAAAATATTTAACTATCAAAATAACAAATCATTGAATTAATTATTAATTATTATGTATATACACATTTCAATTTGGTAATCAAACATCACACTGAGTGGGTTAAAAATAATTCAATTTTTAAATTCATCAAATTAGTTTTCATCATGGTCCACTGTTAAATACAAACAATAGTCAATACCCACTGTTAGTTTGGAGAACTCGGCAAGCATCCGATAAATTTACATTTATGATCAATTGAATACGCTAAACGCAAACAGCGTAATATTATAAGACTACAGAAATAAAATACTACTTCGATCATTTGTTGTGAAAATGCAAACATCTCAATGTCTGCATCGCATGTTATTATCAAATATCAGAATTGCGCGCAGTGATACCAACTTAACGGCATTTTTTTGGGGGAAATGTGCAATACTGCAAATACGTCATCACTGCGAAATGTCATTTACAAAAATCAATCCATGGGGGTCTTTCAATAACATTTTTAATATTTTTTTTACATAATTATTCAAATTATTTATTTTCAATGAAACGTTTTATTAATATAAAGACAAACTATTGTTTATATGTATACACTAGTGGTTTGAAAAATGTCTCAAAGACAGTAAAAATAGCGAAACTAAGTACCAAGTTCATAGAAAAATGTGCCCATTAATAAATGGGACAAATACAATAAAACACAGAGGGTTAGATTATGTTGAACCAATGATCAAATCTGATTTAATCAGGAAACAATTCTAAATACCTAACCTAATAATACACAAATTGAAACGTTAGTAATACATAACAATTTCAAATTTGTTTCGAAAATAAAGTAGATACTTATTCGGCCGCGGTGAAAAAATTATTATTGGCAGTTGTAAAAAGGTGAAAAAAAAAACTTGTCTCAAAAATAAGTAAAAGTAATATAAAAATTGATTTACCTTATAATGATTATAAGATTATCCGAGTACATTCCACATAATTGTAAAACAATAAAATCGACTCTTACACACTAGTAACACAGACCGATATTTTAGCTATTTCACTTAAAACACTAAACAATTTTTTAACACAATGATGTGTGTATCACTATTATTATTACTTAGAATTATACGCGTATAATATATAAATATATATATGTGTGTGTGTGTGTATATATATATAATTTAATAAATTGTGTACAATTAAAACAACAACAACAACAAAACAAATTTCTAAAAATTTAGGTAAGTTATATTTGTTATTATATTATAGTAACATAAAATATTGACTATACACCTAATGTTATAGGTGTTATTAAATTATCGTTGGTCGTCGTGGGGTGGTGAAGAAAACAACAGCGTTCGTGTTTTGGTACGGGACGACGAATAACGAGAACGCAACGACGGGCGAAGGAAAACGCGAACGACGACGCCGAAATAAAAACAGTGGCACGACCGTGCGGTGCGCGAGAGGGCATCGTTCTAGTGTCGGCCAATCGCCGCCGATCCGGTTCACCTATTCCGTTCGGCCAATCTTCTCTCCCTCGGCCGCCGCCGCCGTCTCACCGCCGCCGCCGTCTCACCGCCGCCGCGCGACAATAAAAATTGATCCGAGACACACAACGCGCGCGAGAAAACACACACACACACACACACACCCGGTATAAATGCCGTGTTTAATATTATTATGAATAATAATAATAATAATAGTAGTAGTAGTAGTAGTAGTAGTAGTAGTTGTAATAAAAATAATAGTAATAGTAGTAGACAGTAGTAGTAATACCAATGTTATAGTAAACACAACGGGCGGCGGAGGCGTCAGTATAGCTCGATAACGTACTCCTCCCCCCCTCACACCAAGGTGTTATTATATTTTCGCCATTCGCCGTACTATAATTTTAACAATAATTATTATGGTTATTATTATTATTTACGTGCCGTTTACGAAAAGAAAATCGTACGACGAAAAATTCATAATAATACGAAAAGGGAGTGGGGTTGGCGTAGCATTATTTCGTACCTAAATTATTAGTATTATTGTTTAGTCCGTCGTGGCCCCCTTATCGAAAGAAGTACCGCGCGGAATATTAGAAAGTACCTACGCGCACGTCGTAGTAGTCGCACATTATACGCACGATGGTCGATGGCGGAATGTAAAAAACAAAAAAAAAAAAAAATCTACGCCACCGCCGAATACGGTCACACTGTTGCCAACGAATACAATAATTATGGCGCGCGATTCGAACGCACCATATTTATCGGACATTATTATACGTGTAATTTTTCTTCCCCCCCAGGAGTTTCGCTATGCTTTTTTAGTTCTTCAACAACAATATTATACATTCAACCGACACACACAAAGCACCGCCGCTGTTGGTTTGCGCGAACAACGGGACTTTCCCCTCCAACAAAAAAAACGCCACCGCCGCTACGGCCGTTACAGTTAAGATACCTATACACGGTTCATGTTTATTTTTTTCACGCCGCTCTCGGGACATCTTAAAAGATAATGACCGATAGAAATCGTCGCGCCGTCAGTCAATGCGCTTCCCCTACCCCCCGGGAAGCGTAACAATATTATTATAATGGTCTCGTAGTAATAGTAATAGTAATAGTAGTAGTTGTAGTAGTAGTAGTAGTAGTAGTAGTAGTAGTAGTAGTAGTAGTAGAAGTGTAGGCCCCACTCGTGCGATACCCGCGCGATTCGATCATACCGTATTATATATATAGGTAAGTTTAGTATAATATATTGTTATAATAGTTTCGTTGCTGTAAGGAGAGGCAGAAAATAACAATCCGAAACGGACGAAAAAAAAAAAAAGTAATACAGAAAATCGTTCGCGGCGTCGACACGGGGTCGTTGACATTTGACCGCTGCGAACGACGCGTGAAAGTCGTCGTCGGGAATCGCTACATTTTTAGGGCCGATAATCTGCAAGCAACGGGGCCGCGCGTTGTGACCTTTTCTCGACGAGCCGTTTTTATTTAGGGGATATCATTGTGTACGTACGGCGTAATAAAATAGGTATCGAAACATTATCGATTTCAAAATCTAAACTAGTGTGAGCGGCGGCGGCGGCGGCGGTGGTGGCGGCAGCAGCCGGTGTAGTGTACATACATTTATAATAATATAAAAATAAACGCACGCAAGACGGGCCAGCAGCGAGCGGCGAACGGCAGCTGGTGCTGCTACCGCTAGAAGTCTGCTGTTCGGCCGAAGGGGTCACGATAGGAGGGGAGCGATGTTTTCGAGCCCGGCCAATGGATCGTGAAAAATAAAAAAAATACATTATAAACGCTGTTGTGTGCGCCGCCGCCGTGTGGTATGCCGACAATTGGTCACACTGTACGGCGAAAACGTATCTTGTAAAATACGACGCGGGTGCCGCAGCATCCGACCAACCAGCCGCACACTGCAGCGGCGGACACAAAACGACAAATACGCTTCGGGGCCGACCAAGGTTACTAAAACCACCGCCACCACCGCCGCCGCCAACGTTCTCAGGGCCTGGCCTGGACGCCGACGTTAACTGCGTAATTTTTGTCAATAGGTTTTTTTTTTTTTTCTCTACTCCTTCTACAATAATAATACAATATTCCCTTCTCTCTCCATCGGTCTGTTTAAAAACGACTGCGAAAAATACGTTTTGCAATCAGAGTGCCATTATTATTACTACATATTCAGCACGGCGACGTCGTCCGTCACCCAATCCGAAAAGTGTGAATTACACGTACAAACGTGAATAACGCGATCGGACGGTGGGGCGCAGCTGGTCCCCTCGAGGGAAACTGACCGACGAAATGTCGGAGAGCAATAACGGTGATCTAGTTATGATGAGAAAAAAACACGCAAACCGATACATTAAACATTTTTATCGCGATACTTAATTCGAAAGTTTGGAATACATAATACAAATAAATAACAACTGAAATAGATACGCTGAATGATTTGTAGAGAAACAGAAAAAAAAATAGTCTAGTCATTTGTTAACAATTAAATTCCATGAAGCGTTCAGATAATATCAACATAATATAGGTACATTTAATGAAAATAAAAAAAACCGTACGTTATCTAAAAATTAGTCTGTGCTAATAAATGATTGTCATGATTGTCCGAATATTAATGTTTTCACGATATCAAAACGAGATTCAAAATCTAATCTTCCATTATCAATTCTATACAAAATGTGATGTTATTATAATTCACGATAAGGAATTTCAGCAATAAACTAAAAATAATTAGGTACCATTTATTTTCACAGATACGTAAATATAATAATATTCCCGTTTATTATATTTCCCCATCAAAAACTATTACGGAAATTTTTATTATCAAAGATAATTTTTCAACAAATAACAGAACTTACTAGTTAGATCAATTATTATCTGTAGGTACTTTGTATAATAATTTTCACAATCTTACGAGTGAGGCAATAGATAAAGAAAACAATATTATTTTTATAAATCAATATAATAATATTAGCACTGTAGATTTTATAACACGGAATACTAATAAAAACACTTGAAGTCACATCAGAAATCATTTAGTTTTAGGGCTTGTAAAACTACTGCTGGGAGTCTGGGACGACAATGTAAAATTATCCCGAGCATTAAAAATGAATTTAGCAAAAACTGAAATAATAAATAATTCACAACAAATATTGAAATAATTAAATCCTGTCAAATAATAATACGAATAAAACATTTGAAATATCACATTTGTATAACAATGATGACTTTTTAAACTGTACGCGAACACGCTTTCAGCGACCAACAAAAATAATAATAATGTTACTAATTTATTCGATCGGGTTTAGATTGTTTTTTTTAAAAAACAGTGGCTAAGGTACCCAGTATAATAATTCTAAAAGTGCGTCACTTAAGGGTTGTTGTTGTGATTTGTTAATGCCCTAAATTAAAATACCTTCACTTGTATTTTATCCAAAATAAAAATGTGTATAATATTATTTTAAAATTGAAACAAATTAAACATATCGTTTACACAATAATAACTATTGTACTACGATTTCTACGTTCTTTTTGCGCAATAGTATTGTGATCAACACACAATTATAATTGTAATTCGGTAATTTTTCTGTACCCACATTAACAATTGAAATATTTACGACGGAAATAGATTTATTATTTAGGGCAAACAGATAACCGTGACATATTATTTGATAGACGGATTTGCAGGTGGTTACATTGTACACTGAGATTTTTTTTTAACACAAACATCCGTGATAATATAATAAATGTCAAAATATTTTTATTTTTTTTTTACATTATAAGACGGGATGGAATATAATGTCGAAGAGAATGTAAGGTATTCAAAATAAAATGTTTCCGGGTGTAATTAAAGTATACGAACCTAACGTCATATATATTTATGTGCCTATACTCGGGATACTGACAGAATACTGTTAAATTATTACTGAATTTCCTCTTTTGGATGTTCTTAAATAATATTCTAACGAGAACCAAAATTAGACGGGTAGTATAAAATTTAAAATTATTTTAAATATACACAATAAATATAGAAAAAAAAAAAAAAACATTGATTCATCAACATTTTACTTTATTATAATTTTTTTTTTTTTTTTTTGATGAGACGATTTTAACTTACTTTATTTTGTTTCGTTTATTTTTTTCATCTATAAATAATAATAACAAATAAAAAATGTAAAAAAAGAAATAAGGAAGTTACGAAGGTACGAATCGAAGTAGAAATAACAAACGTCAATAGGAAATGAATGTTTATGGTTCAGTGCATATAATTATTCATGAAGACCTACACAGCGATTTTCATTTACATGTCGTTTTAATATAATATCTATTATTTCTAAAATTGCTTTCCGCGAGTAAAACGGGGATCGTTCGGTCCGCAAAACCATTCACATATATTAATAGTATACTTATTATGTTATTTAACAATATCGTAGTACGAACATTTTTTTTTTTTTTTTTTTTAATAGTTTAATTTATAAAATACCTATTGTTTAACTAATAAAATTAATCGTTTATAAAACTAATATTATAAGTGCACAGAAAATACATTATGGTAAATTTTTAAAATTTTAACTAAAAAACCCTTATAAAAAAATTCAATACATTACGCTCAACTTCTTTTTTTACAACTAAATAAAAATTATGATGGACAATCTATATATCTGTTGTTAATTGATTGTGTATAATTTTACACATTATGGACAGATGAAAATAATTTTGGCCACATACAACTGAACAAAAATCCAAAAATTTCAAAAGCTAAAAAAACTACTACGATTATATTCAACTGAATTGCAACAAATGAACAAAATGAAAAATAACAGAAACCATTAATGAGTATATTTTAGTTTTTTTTCTCCAATTATTAATAAATAAAAAAACTACAACGAAAATCAAAAAATGACCTTCTCAATACTTCAAATGGATAAAATTTATTAGCATTAAACAATTCCTAAAAATCGATGATCAGTGGATATCTGGATAAAAAGTTGTTTTCAGATAGAAAAAAAAGAAAAAGAAAACATCTTAATAAAAACAAGTCTTCATTGCGTTTAGAATACAAAATATTCCACTGTATTATGAATTAATGAATTAAATTTATTTTCATACAAATATTTAGGAGCGAATATAATTGTAAAATAAACACAGGTACATTCACATTTGAAAAAAAAAATAGGCAGTATTATTCGGTTTTTTTAAATTTAAATTGTTTTATTTGATTTAAACAATAGATATATTAATTAACAATTATAGTAAAATAAAGTAACATTACAAAAAAAGATTCAGATATACAAAATATAGATTTAAGTTAAAAACCTTTTAAAAGCATGCAATATACCTATAATAGTTTTAATAAGTAGGTAATATATTATTGCATAATCAGTTATTTTATACGCAAGTAAACACAGACAAAATAAAATCATGCTACTATCGCTGTAATAAACAATAAAAAAAATCAAAAAGTACCTTACATCTCTTCAAACACATTTGAATAATACCATTACCATACCATTTTATAGCCTTTTCCTACTCATCTGTTCTAAAATCGATAATAGACTTACGTATATTCAAATTTGTTAAACAATTTTCTATTTGAATCTGGAGGAGGATTCTGTTTTAAAATTAAAAGTGTATACATATTTAACATGTAAGGAGTGGAGGTTAAAATTGAAAATTAATCCTAAACTATCCTATAATGTTTAAGAAAAATATCAAATTCATTGAAAATGCATGAGAAAATAGCTAGTTTATGTATAAATGAATCACCTATAGTTATAATATAATAATATTGTTCTGGGAAAAACAATAAGGAAAAGTTATGTAATTATTTGATTGAATATACAGGACTTGAATGTTTATCTTTTTAGATTCTGAGCAGAGGGCGGAATCTATTTTTTTATTTGCATTTCCTTCCCATTATTATAATAGGTAAATTGATACAATTTCATTTTTTTTTTCAATATATATTTTTTTAGTTATTATACATTATATCCTATGAACACTTACATGTAAAACCAAGTTGAATTAATTAATATTATTTTTTATTTGGAATTATCATAGATTTCAATCGTATTTAATAATAACAGTGAACCGCATTGGGTTAAGATGATAATATTATTGTTCAAGTATCCAGGTTCAATATCATGAGTTCCTAGAATTATTACTCTTTTTTTTTTTTATAAATTGATTTAGCTCACATTACAAAAATAAAAATACTTTTTTAAGAATATCAAAAGATTGATGAGCTCACAGTATTATAAATATAAGTTCGATGTAATTTGTAGTTGTAATTTTTATGTACGTTTAAGTTTACTTAATAGTTTATAAACACAAAGTTTACACATCCATACAAAATAGGTACATAATTTATACTAAATCAATGTTATACACAGTTTGCATTACACTAAATACCTATCTATTAATTTAAATTGCAACTAAAACAAATTGTAATTAGGTAGGTGCATTATGTTTTAATCGAGGTTTTAATTATCTTTTTTTTTAAATACACAATTTTTAATTTATTAAACATACAGCTTAAGTTAATTATGGAGTTAATTTGAAATGCACTAAATTATATTAAAAAATAAATATCAAATATCAAATTATAAATGGTACTAAATTGAAAGATAATTTAACTTTAAATTTAGGTAAATAAAACAAAAATTAGGCAGTAAATATTTGAGTACCTACCTAATCTGATTTATATTTAATTGCACATCAATGGTAGATAGACCTATTCAAGAAAAAACATACCTAAATACCTTGTGAATTATCAGTGACTATAGATTATATAATAAAATAAACTTTAATATATACCAATGTAAGATGTACTGTACATAGTACATTTTCTAAAGAAAATATAATAAAATAATTAGGTAATAATGGTAAATTATGAATATTACCAAAGCAATTGTTTTTAAATTAATAAGTAAACAAATTAATAACTAAAAAGTTAATACATTTATATTTTATGATAATGTAATTATCATAATATAATTAAATATTAGATAGATATGGAATAAAACCAATCAAATCAATTTAATATATTTCAACACATACCTTTACTTAAAAGAAATTATTTGGGCATATTAATTTTGATAACTAATGTAATCTATTTAAATCGGAGCAGCAAAATATAATTGAAAATATCAAGTATAAATGAAAAATTAGGGAAACATCAAAAATCAATAATGTGTACCACAGATAATTCCCAACTGTAAATATTATAGTGCATGACCTTAAACAATTAGAAATGAAAAATAATAGATTTATAGTAGTAACAATTCATAAACTAGATCACATCTCACTTGACGTTAATGTCTAGTCTATGATAAAACTAAGATAAGCTACATTTGAAGGTTTTATTTTTGTAATCGCTTTAACTAATTAAAATTATCAAGGTGCATAGATGAAAAAATGTTTCTACCTACCTACACAAATAATTTTATATAATATACAACGAGTAAAAATTTCAATAAATATTACTGATAAATAAACGAGTACCTATTTATTTATGTGTGTGTTACAATGAAATCGCAGGTTTGGTATAACAACTAGGCAAAACATACCTACATAAATCGATGTTTTTTTTTTCTAAACAAAATGTATAAATTATATTAAAATAAGACGTATGACGTACGCAAATGGTCGTTGTCGAGACTTTTAAAACGGGCAAAAAATAAAATAAACAACGAATCGAAACACAGTGGATAATTACAAAATCTAGTTCGATTTTGAGAACAATAAATAATATCGATATCTCGGCGGACCGTAGATACTTACACGATAATAATGCGATTAATATCGATCGGCGACTGTTTAACATTTTATAGTGGGGAAAAAAAAAATTATTATACCTAATCTAATTTAACCTACCACTGGACAACGTAGAGAAAACGAAAAAATACAAAACGTCGTTTTACGGTGAACCGTTTTCAAAATGGAATTGTCGAAAATCGACCGAACAGAAACCTCTGGTATTTTTAAAGGTCTACTATATTATAAAGGTTTAAAATAATATGTCAAATCGACAAAATTTGACCTTTACCTACCATAGGAGTGGAGTGTAGGCACATTATTTTATTATTATTTATTTCCTATGTATTATTATGGCTGATAACACGGTTGTCCCCACACGCACACATACACATACACACACACAAACATGAGTACGAAAATTCAATCCAGAGTTACCTAAGTACCTATGACAGACAGGGTACGGGGCGATGGTAATAATAATAGTTAATTAACGATAATAATTATTAATACAACCGCCAAAGTTACAAGAAAACGTCAACGACGGTTATTTCGGATGAACGACAACAGTAAGCAAAACCAAATTTCGTCCGCGACAGAGAAAAAACCTAGCAGTGATTTCATCCGCAAATTTTATTACAGATTTGGTACAGGCATATTAGTTTTATTGTCAATAACGACGGCGGAATAATGAAATATACGCTTATATAAAAAAACGTATACGCACTTACCTTGAACACGGACGATCCAATATTATCACAGGAATAATAGTAACAGCCTGGCTGACTTGCGGCGAATCGTTGTCGTCGTGTAACGTCTTATTTTTCTTTTTTTCCACTCGGCACAGTTTAACGTGAAAAACGTCAACACTCGCGAATCGCGTCCAAACAACACGAAGTAGACGCCATTTTTGTTTATGATTAGAAACGGGACAAGACAACGAGAATGTGCTGCGGTACCGCGCGCGCATCCGTCCGGTCGGTTCTCGGCGATCGCTCGCGAGTGCGCAAAACGCATGTATTTGGAAGAATAAACGGACGCCCGTGCTCCGTGTCCGTTTCCTCCATGATGCGCGGTTTGTTCATAATAATATTGTGTAAAAATATATACATATATCAACTACCCACGCATTCACCTTACCCCCTCGCTTCGTTGTGTTTTTTTTTTGACATTCCAATGATTAAACGAATATTAATATGAACAACACACACTATAAATACTTACTGAATAATGAATATATTTAATTATTTAGTATTAAACTAGTTTTAGTACGGTTAGTTAGGATGTTTACGACTTTTCGTTTTCATCTGCGTATAGTTAAAATAATATACATACATAGGTACCTGATACCTATTATGCTGTAACACATTGTTTTAATGGGGTTTCACGTGTTAAAAAATGAAAAAAAAAATGTTCACATAGTTATCGGTGCGTCGAAAATCTGATAAAATTATGAACACAAGTTGTTGCACGCATTTACAAAAGTACAACGCACATTCGCCCATAACTATGTAAACAAAAAATGCATTGATTTCGACTCCCATTGACGTACGACCACTGAATAGAACAACATAATATACTTACCTAATACCTGTTGTTTATATCCCATAAAGTCTGTAGATACTTATTTTGAGTATTGTATAGCTTGTACCTAATTTAAGAAATTTGTTGCAGATGTGTATCTATATAGTATTATTGTAATTGTGTAATTTATTGCAGCTGAGTATACCTAACGGATTCAAGTCGGAAAGCGCAAATTTGACAGCCCAATGACCTTTTACGATTTAAATTTTTCCAAAACATAATATATTATTGCAAATAAATAAACTATTAATTATTATTTTATAGGTAAATATTTTACACATCTGCAGCCTGTCTAATATTGGATTATTTGCATGGACAAAATTATTGGTTACTAACCTATAATATACATTATATACCAATGCAATTTGTACACACAATACACCCACCGTGATCCCTATACTAAAAGATCTCATCTAGTGTAAATTGTATAAGTAAGTGCCTATATGTTGTGTACAGCATAATATAATATTGTGGACGAAGGAACAAGTCAAAAAAATAAAACACTCATTACCTATATTATATTATATAAGTATTTTACCTTGCAGTGACGATTAATTGCAAGATACTTTTACCTAAGGTACCAGACGAGACAAAGCAAAACACAGAGGCCCGTGGTAATACTGGTAATAGATAATATAATATTTTTCAGTTTTATCACGTGTCATTATTATAATACACACAATATTATTATTCATATGAAATGATATATTAAAATCCACTGCAAAAATCTGTACACGTACAACAGGTAGATACCTACCTAACTTGAACTTATCTTTATTTACCTATGTATGGAATTATAATACATACAATACAGATACCTATTCCGCATGAATATTCACTAATTTAAATCTATAATGAAATCTGCGTTGCTCTAGCCACTTAAAATTAAATAATCTTCGTATAATTTATTACAAGACTGAAGACACCCTGTACATATATATTTATAAAGATATACTTTTAAAACAATTTATATACGAACATATAGTGACCTAGTTTTATGTAATAATATTATTTTATAGTAAACTTTCATTTAGTGATTATATATTATTTTAAAATGATTTCTGAGTTTTGGCATTCAATAATCCATTAGGTATCGTTATTTACATTTTACCATGAGGCACCCTGAGAGAAGGAGGACAAGGTATAAGACAAAACAATTGTTTCCCCTGGATTTTTAATTCTATCTGCCAAAAGTTATACCTAATTAAGTTAACCTAGAGAGGCACGGGGGGCGCTTGTCCTCCCGTTCATTTTATAAAGGGGCGGATAGGTTATTTTGGTCAGTTGTCATTTTCAGACTTAATAATAAATTATAGTTTTGTTGATACAAGAAGGTAAAAACTTTTCGTTCATATAGAATGTATAGCGCCATAACGGCATACAAATAATAGAACAATTAATATAATATTGTAGTAGTTATAATTATGGGTAAATCAAGCATCAACTACCACAATACGCTTCACCAGTGCCAATTTCTGAACATGTTTATTTAAATTTGTCAATAGTATGCTGCATCGATACGAATTTATAAGAATAAATACAAGATTAGATTGTTGGACAGCCGATCAAACATGGATACAGAGTAGCGGTAGATGCCCCCACCCCTTCCCCCTCTTGGTCGTATTATAGACTATAAAAAATTACTAAATACTTGAGTGTAGTAATTTAATTTTTTGTACACATTTTTAAAACAATATTATTTAGTAGTTTTATACTTCACATATCTTTAGGTAATAATATATTATGATATAAGTCGTCATCGTCTAGACATTCATATATAGGTATTTCTCGTTTATGATTTACGAGGAAACTCTTATTTAATGAATATTTGAGAGCGAAGTGAGCTAAATTTTTTTTCCAAGGGTGGGTATTGTGGTTACTAATATTTCCCCCTATATTATTCTAAATGGAACTGCGTCTCTGATTAATACATTAAAACATATGATGGTAGAAAATGATCCGCCATTATAATATAATAAATTACATATATGATCAATAAATCATATGCAATTTAGAATGTTTTACAAATACATACCAATTAAATTATAATCTAAAACTTATGTTATTAAAGCTAAGAGTTAAATTTATAAAAAAAAAAATCGTCATTTATTTTAAATTACATTTGGTGAACATAGAAAATGAAAACTAAGTCATCTTCTATGATGAAAACCTCTTACAGGCTACAATTATAACAAAACCAACAGATAGATTATTTAATTAGTAATGTAGATGTTGTACTTTTAATAACTTTTTAATATTGTGTTCGACAAATGAAGGCCCAAAAGCTTTACAAAATAGATAATAAATAATTAGGTAGGTATAATTTTGGTTTTTGAATCAATAACTCACTATCATATCAATTTTTCTAAGACGGTACACTATAATTAGTAGTTCTAACTTCTAGTAGATACAACGTACATCTACATTTCTAATCTTTATCTTAGTCTCTATTCTAACTCTACTTTGTACCGGTGTACAGTACTTTCTATCAGTATACAGCTACCTAATCACTGTAGAGAAAAATATAGCTATAGCTAGATCTAGACTGCATATGGCCCATGTACATTGTATTTTTCCCTCGATAGAATGAATGAACACAGTACCGACCGCGTGCTTATTTGCGATACTTTGTATACTCGTAATATTTTCGTACTAAAAATCATGTAAAACACAAACACATTGCTGCTGCGGCTGTAATGTCCATTTTGAATTATAAAAAAAAAAAAAAAAAAAAAAAGGGAAATAGTGAAAATAAAAAGACTGACATGCTTCGCACGAGGGTCACTTATGTAGATGAGAAGTTGGGAAGGTAGATATAGTAAAAGGGAAATTTAATTTATATCTGTAAGCAATGATAAACCATTGCTTACGAAAAAACGATTCTGGGGGGAGTTCGGTTTATTGTGTTGCTATGTCAACAATATATAAGTAACATTATGGTAAAATAATTGCATAGATATTGTATATTTTCTTTGATAATATTTGATTAATATTGCCCCTATTTTCCAATTTTTATTTTACTATTATGGAATATTTGAGTTATGATAATATAGTGTACTCAGTACTCATCAGAATCGTGTTATAGTTCAGTATAGATGTATAGTAAAAGGAGAAGAAACAAAATATATCCTCAAATAATAGTCGGTAGGTACTTATAAATAATATTTCAAAATACCTCATTCATTAATTAAAAATGATATTCAGAAAACGCCGAGATCTTAAAATAATTAAACACATTACCTACCTCTTATTAATGGTAATAATGATACCTATATGTTTTGTATGGGTTCATTGTTTACATAATATGTAAAACGGACTACGGAGTTTAATAATGTGCAGTATACGGGTATATCCAATTTATTATATGAAGTACTACCTGTGATAATATTTTTGAATGTAAATCGTTTATGTTTTGGGGACCGTGATATTCAATGGATGGTTAGTAAAATCGTTCGTGTGTAGTTATAACTGTGTTCAATTTGAATAGTAAACGATTTTCTCCGCGTTTTATGTTAGAAAATATTAAAATTAAATTCAAAAATAAAATAAATAAAAACATTAATTTAATAATAAAATATTATGAAATCAACGATAATAATCATTTTTGTATAGATACATTTTTATCGTTACCTAAAATCATATATATATAAAATACCTAGATAACAAATTCGTATCTATTACTGAAGTCAGATGCCATGTACAGGTTGGGCAAAAACGATAAATGAATTATTAATATTTAACTGTTGTTATTCTTATTATCACATTGTATCCGAGATAATAAACATCAAATCGATATAAAAATCGATAATACTTATATCGATGTCAATTATATCTTATTTTGCAATCGTTTTTGCCGACCTGTAAATGGTTGGTGACTTCAAATATTGTTGTCAATCCAGTATACAAAGTTGGCTATCTAGTTATTATATATATCAATGCTCAAAATACGACTTCCCAATAAATTTCAATAAATACAATTTTTGTAAATATTTAATTTTGAAATCACGATTGAAAACATAATAATGCAGTGGTGCAACTAAGGGGGTTCCCCGGGTTCTGGTCCTCCTCCTTAGACCCTTTCATATGGATAAAAACCTAAGCATGCAAATTATTTATTTAATCTTTAATTTGATGTGGAATAACAATTAATAATTTTATGATAATTTTAGTGTGCGTAGGTCTTATTATTTGGACTTCTCTAACCTTGAACGAATTCTGGTTGCCATTATTTAAAAATAATAATCAATAACAAAATATTCAACAGAGGTAAATTTTGAACACTAATAACTTCAAAAAATGGTTATATTTAAAAAAAAACTGTCAATGATTGCATTATATCGGGCAACATGTTATAGACTCCTAAA